TGGAGAAGGTTTATACAAAAGTTCCTCGAAGTATTCGACCCATCTGTTCCTCTGTTCTTCAACCTCGGTGATTGTCATGCTTTCTTTGTCTTTCTGGCTTACCAAATTTCCTTGCTAGCTTCTTCGTTGTGTTATGTTGCTTTCTCATATTTCCTTCTCTTGAAGCTTTTTCCTCAGTCGTCGCTAGCTTTCCAACGTATTTCTGTTTATCAACCCCATAGTAGTTCCATGTTCTTTCAGTAGAACCTGTTGTTGAGAGTTATCTCGAATTCTTTCAGTTTGCTAGTATCTAGAAGGAAGGCTGTATTGGAACTTTGTAATACTGTTTCCTCAGCTGTCCAGTGTTTCTTTAGCTTCAATTTTATACTGGACATAACCACGTGATGATCTGAAGTCATGTCTGTTCCTCTCCTAGTTTTCACGCCTTCCATTGTCCTTCTGAATTTTTTATTGGTGCAAATATGATCTATCTAGTTCGCTGTGGTGTGATCCTGTGAGACCCATGTAGCTTTACGTATGCGTTTGTGTAGTAATAATGTACCACCTATAACCAAGTTGTTGAATGGACATAGGTTTGCGAATCTCTCGCCATTTTCTTTTTTCTCACCCAGTCCATGTCGTCTCTTGATATCTTCATATCCGGTGTTGTCCATTCCGACCTTGGTGTTTAGGTCTCGCATCAGGATATTCGGTTCTTTTCTTAAGTACTTCGTTATGGTTGATTGCAGCCTCTCATAGAACTGATATTTATTGTCGTCGTTACTATTATTGGTGGGTGCATATCACTAGATAACATTCATCGTAATGACCTCTCTCTTTGTTTTGCATGATGCTTTGGTGATTCTGGATCCGTGAGATTCCCATCCTATACACACACTACGTACTTCTTTGAACAGCATCCCAGGAACTCCCTGAGTATGTGGAGCATTTTCCTCTTCGTGATCGGGGTATAGCAGCATTTCTTCTGTATCTAGCCTTTGCTGTACAGCTTGAGTTAAATGAGTATCGCTGATTTCCAGTACTGACAGGTTGTATCTCCTCATTTCCGTTGTTATTTGACTGGTCTTCCCGGTCTCGCACATTGTTCAGACGTTCCATGAACCTATAAAAATTGTTGCTCTGGTTGTTAGAAGGGCCATCGGCCTCTTGAATTCCGAAGAATCTCAGATTTCATTCTTTATTATATGCAGCCCAGCACTGAGATATTTCTTGTCCATGTAGTGTAGTTGTGCATTAAAACATTCTAAACGACAGTAGAAATCCTCATATTCCACCTAATCAAGTTGTTTCATACGACTGTCCTTTCTCTTCAATTCTATACGGTTTCGATGAAGGTGTGTTAATCTTTAGTCATTAAAACGTCTGTATCTGACGTCATTCGATCATTCTAATTTGCATGACACTGGAACTAGAAGCGTACATCGATGGAACATCTAAAGAGTACAAAAATCCAGTAGAATAAAATGAAAACCTGATGCCTATAAAATCAAGTATAGGTTTCCATTGAAAACGTCACACATAACGCTTCACAGCATAAAACAAAAAGTAAGACAAGCGAGTATTACATATTAGTTTTCTGTGTTACAGAAAATGTTCCTTCAAATCGAGCTCTGACACTTAGTACGTCCAAAAAATTTTAAATTGGTTTTCAGTGCATAATTCATCCTTCTAACCTTCAGTTAATATTTTCTGTTCTGATAATTAGAAAGCAAAAGCACACTGCGCATTCTTTACATAATCTTTTATCTGAAAGTGTAGAAGCACATATATTGTTTATTGGATATTGTTCAACGTTTCTAAGTTACAGTTTGCCCGCTTGTTCCGCTATACATCAGTTTGGTGAGTGTAATTTGTATAAATACTATTTGTCTCGTGTTTGGTCGCAAATGGAGAGACAAGGCTTATCCTGACTTGACGACAAATTTATTCCTAATATAAATTCAGATGAGCAGGTTTCACTTGACACCGATCGGCGTGTTCCTTAATATTTTCGTTGTTCAGCTTTTTATTTGGTACCGCAAAAATATATCGTATGTAATATTCAACATGCAATAGAACACAATAATCCTCCCAATTCATGGTATTGCTTAGATTTGCTGTCATTTTCGAAGTAGTAACGGAGAGTGATTATACTACATACTCCAGTAAATAGTTCGTATTTTATAGTTTGGTATGAAAAACTAACCTTAATGTATTTATAGTGTGTAGGATTTGATCTTGGTTTCGGTCGTTATTAATAGGAATGATAGCCCGCTCGACTATGACAACCTCTTGAGTTTATTTTTCACTGAAGATCTGATTTCTTCTTAAAAGCGCCCACTGGTGAAACTGGTACCAGTCGCCGACCACTGGATGGGAAAAACGGAACCCTAACCGAAGCTTGGTTTTAGAACCTTATTGCGGTGGCCTCCAACATGATTATTTTTGCAGAGAGTAGAAGGAAAAAACTTGTTTCTGCACACTGAACACTCGGGTATGTTCGCATCCGCAATATAACGTGAACTTTCTGCTTGTATGCGAAATTCAATGTAGGGTCTCCCGTGGGTGTAGCACAATACCTGAAGCATATATTAGTCAAAATGGTTGAATGTTCAGCAAAACAACGATTACTCTCAAAAGTCTGAAAGCTGTTGAATAGTAGTGCGCAGTTGTTTCCAAGTCATAACTAACTATTACTCCCAGATCTTCTTGTTTCTGCACACGTGGAAGCTACTCACCGTTGACCCTTATGCTGGTAACCATTGCCGTGTCCAGTGTGGATTAGTGAACTATTTCCATCGTTCGTCTCGAAACCTAAAATTCGGAATCATTTAACTAATCCGTATAAATTTGTTAGGAGATTACGATTATCAGTCTCATTACGTGTTCTCCAAACTTTGACACCATCTATGGACAACAATGTCGGTAGCTTAAGCAGTTTTGGTAATCCATTGACTCAGAGAAGAAATTGTGGACCTAAGATGTTACTTTGGTGTACACCACTTCTAAATAGTTTCCATACATATGATGTCTTAGCAACAGGATCGGTGAGAAAAGCTGAGGTATTTTAGGTTATCCTTGTATTTACAACCCTCTGAGCTCATTCCAACACGTACGTTTCACATTTCATACTAGAATTCCTCGCTTTACTTTCGTATTCTGAACGTGGTGGGCGACAAGATATAACAGGTATTCCTGTATAGTCTTCAAAATAGCTTTGAAAGGTCCCCAAAAAATCCGCAAGTCTTAAGCACCTGCTGCTTTGTTATCACCCTTAAATTTGAGACCACCGTTTACTGTGACTCGTAAATCCTTACAGTTACCAATGTTATGTAAATGGATTTGATTTCCGATGTAATTATGCAAACGATGTGCATTACAGTACTTGTGCTATTACTTGTCCTCAATGACCACCAAATCGTCCACTCATCCAGAGGGTTCATATCAACTTTTAACCCTATTTTATCATTATTGTATTCTAAAACTCTCAGATGTAAGTTATTAATAGCTTGCCTCGATCTTCGAGTTTCATTTAGTATGGATTTCGGGTTATTGTGAAGAACACTGAGCGACAAGGTTATCTTTATAATTTTGTGAGTGTTGCTGCTTTAGATTGCTAAATCATTATGATATTTCACTTAACGTGAGCGCATTCAATTTATTGTGCAGCAGTTTAAATTAATATCGGTTTGACTAGTGCATATTACAGAACTTCACTTCACTTGTAATAAGATATTACTATTGTTACCGTGTCTGTTTCTCCATGCTCCAATATTCTATACAAAGTCATAGAATATGGTTTTTCCTCTTCATTTTAATTATTCTGATAAGTTTTGACTAAGGCATTACTGAATATTTACTATCTTAATTATAGCGTTGACATAATCATTAGTATCGTTTTGTGATGATATTACTTCATTTGATGTACAATTTGTGTTTGTCTATTGTATTCTGTGAATAAAATAGTTTTACTATTAAAAGCATTCTTTCTGTTTTAAATTATTTATTAATACTTGATTTGAGTTTTTAAGCTATGTCCAGTCACATTGTTGATGTATTGTGCTACTGTGAAAAAATCTAAGATTCTAACAATGTATCATTAAAGTTTTTCTGACTGCTTTGTGTAAAATATTCAATGTTTGTAATATAAAAGAGTGGTTACATGCATGTAAAATGTACAGTTATTTGGCTGATCTTCTGGTTTGTCGGAATACATATACAAATCCTGTTAGTTAGTAAGCTACAACGTAGGACCAGGTACATATATGCATCGGTCCAAATTGTCACACCTCATTATCACAAGATGAACACAAAATTCATAGAGGTGGTCACTTCACTTGTAGTTATGTATAAAAGATTGTGAACAAGGATAGAGTACAGGAAGAAAGAATCAGTTTGTAGGAATAAATGTTTAAAGCAATCTGAATTTCACGGTTTAAGGGTAGACAAAGATTGTATATACGAATCCCAACCAAAGTACGGTTAGTTAAAATATATCGAATGGCTTTAGGTACACTGGCTACAGCTATAGCTGAATGTACACTTAACGCAAAGAATTTAATGACTGTCGGTATTATCTGTCGCAAGGTTCCAATATTTTATTTGGGACATACCAAAAATCTCTACAAACTTACAGGAACACTCATCTGAGGATTCCATGTTAAGGTTGAATTTGTGTTCCTCTATATTTCCATTTTTTGATTGACATTTGATTCATCACCATCCCTCCGCTTTATTATGTTATCGTCTGTTACTGATAAATTCAATTTAGTCGCCTTTACAATGTTGTGTCCACAAAAACAGAAATCTGGCAATGAAATTTTTGTATTCTCAACTGTCTATCCTGAGAAATTAGTCCAAGTTCCTAAATTTGATCATGAAATAAACTTTAAAATGATGAAAGTGAAGGCAGCTTGTAAGGTTACGAGTAACTTATCATCAGTTTTGGATGATTTTAAAATAACAAAGCAAAGCAGCTATTCGTTTATTTCACCTATTCAAAGATTTATGTATACAATTGCGTTTTACTTTGTCACTAAACGTTTTAAGTGAATAGTGCTCTAAAATAGGTTTCGCAAGTAACAGCGAGTGGATTTGAGCTTTTAAACAGTAGACTCTTGTGCATGTATGTGCGTAATATCATATTTTAATCTTCTTTTAAAGCGAATTCGAAGATAACTACGACATATTTTATCTAAGACAGTAGACACAATATTATTGAAACACCTGAGTAATTTTCTTGGTCTGACTAGAGAAATGGTTGTGCATGTCAATGAAATAATATCAGCGAGAAGTATTATTTGTTGGAATGTCTTTGTTTTTTAAACAAGTATGAATAATGATTTGCTATCTACCTTGCAGAACGTTCCAAGCATCTGTCCAGCCACACAATGGTGTTAAGTAAGTAAACCATTTTGACAGTTTTGACGTTCGTGCTTAGTTACCGCAGATCTCATTCGAAAACGTGCAGAACACAATGATGGGGAGATATGCTCCCTTGAAGAAGTGGCTTTACATCAACAAAATCTTGAAAGGTAAAACGTTTGTTACATAATTAAAAAAACAAGGATTGAGCTTATTGAGAACTTGTGTAAAAGCCTTAGAATATTATATCTACAAAATAATCTCATTCCAAAAATCGGTATTGCTAATTACTTACTGATTTTTTGTTTCAGAAAATCTATCAAAGTTGAAAAAACTAGAATATTTAAATTTAGCTCTAAATAATATTGAAAAAGTGGAGAACTTAGAAGGTTGCGAATCCTTGAAAAAGCTAGATTTGACAGTAAATTTTATTGGGGACTTGTTTAGTATTGAATCTTTAGGTAATGTGCATTTTCTTGAAGAACTGTAAGTTAGCTGTAAAAAATTTGTTTAATTTTCTTCTTATATGTGTTGTAGTTATTTAACTGGAAATCCGTGCACAGAATATCCAGGGTATAGAGAATTTGTGATTGCTACGTTACCGCAATTAAAAGTAAAGATAGATTTTCTTTTTTTACATGTAAAGTTGCTAGATGGAGTGGAAATAACTAAATCGGAACGCATTATCGCATTGCAAAACTTGGAACGTATTCGTCCAATCATAGAAGAAAAACAAAGAGAGCACGGATTGAAAAGAGTAAGTGGGTGGTGAATTTTCATGATTAATTGATTATGAATTTCCACACTACTTATTTAATACGAAGTTATTTCACAGAATTCTGAAAAGGTCGAAGCAGTACGAAGAAAAGAAAGATTCGCCAAGGCAAACACAGATTCCAGTTAGTAAGTTCGTAACATTTTATTCTAATGGTTTTTACCTAGTTTACGATATACGGCATTTAATAGTTGGTTTAGGCATAAATTTAAGATTTTTTCGGAGTCCCAATAACACTATAGTATAGCTGGATTTTGCAGATCCGGATCTAGTAGGGTTTTAGATTTCCACAGCTGTTATTCACACAGTACGTATGACTCACAAATTAATGTCATAATAATATTAAGAAAAGGTTTTATCTTACCCGTTCCATCAGATAAATATAGTAGACTGATAAGTGTGGTTGATTTGACGGTAGAAACGAATATTAAAAAATAAACTTAACCGACTTGGCTGAATATACTATTTTACCTATGTTTATCTGCTGTAAAACGATCTTACAATATTAGGTGTTAAATCTAATTTCATAGTACCAAAGATATAGAGATTGACAGTTTACTTATAAGTGTCCATAATTGTTTCGGGCAATGAAGTAAGCCTGAACATTTCGGAGTGGAGGCAAATGCTCTGCATCTTTGTAGTCTGTTTTACTGTTTTTGTAACTTACTATCGTTATCAAAAGACCCCTTGTTTACAATACATGAAAAATTTGTATAAAATAGGTGATATTATTTTTAGTAGCGTAAGGTAGAAACCACTTACATCACCTTTTTTTAGACGAATTCAAAGCAATATATTTTCCGCTTCAAATAATTATGGAAAACTGCATTCCTTATAAATGCCATTACGCCATTTGAAGATATCTTTTGAATAACTCTTATTTACCATGAAAATGTTTGAATTGTTTTATTGTATGATTTCTGTGTACTGTATTTTCGAAAACAGAATTTCATGGTGATAAAATTTCCTTACTCTCCTTGTGCGGTGTTCCAAAATATTATTACGATCGTAATGTTTTTGTTTGTTGAACTCTACTTATCATATTCAGGTTTTCCATTCAAAAAAAAGAACATTCTTTTGCAGTAACTGTTTACGTTTTACGATACTCATGGGCTTCATTGTTTCGACTATGTTGTCAGGAGCTAAGAGCAGTTGTATGCCTTAGACCAGTGTTATCTCCTGGGGTCTCCTTGATTTCTTATCTCCGTTTATGGCTTCATAAGTGTTTTGGTTGGTTTGAACAGACATCATTGTATTTTCGATTGATCATTCGTCCAAACGTTCTCCACCTAATATTGCCCTAATAAATGCAAATATTGCAAGTAAAACAATTAGAACTGATAAAAGCAGCGATTTTAAACCTATCTACCGGAAATGCAATGACATGTACTGACAATATCTTCATCCTTTTTGGTTCAACACAATACTTTCGACTATAAACACAATCAGTCTGTTTTTCTAAACAAATGAAGACTTCTTGTGTATTATGTATTGAGCGAACAATTGGTTTCAATAACCTCATCATCAGGCTCTATAATTATGATAATTTAAAAATGCCAAAATAAGGCTTGTATTAATGAATTTCACAATGTTATGTGTTGAAAATGGTAAACGTTTACATCTGTTACGACATATATACTTCGAAATTGTGTTATTCGCAAATTAAAAAGGTTATTTAAAAAAGTTCAGAATGATTATTTATTTATTCATTTATTTATTTGAACACATGAATATTGGTACAAGAGAGCGCCAATATATATGCGCCACACAAAACAATGAGAATTCGAAGAGAAATAGAAAAAAAAAGCTAAGGAGCGCAAAAAAGAGAACAATAACGAGAAGATTGGTGTAAGGTAGTATGGTAGAAATGAGGGAACGAAAAGGTACAATCAGAAGTAATCTTTCAGGTAAGGGAGACACAACCACTTTTTATAAAGAAAGTAAAAGAAGGTTACAGCAGGATCGCCACTGGCTTCTATTCTGAGCCATATCTGATAACGTCTCTAGCCACTGTGTTGCACCATCTCTAGGACCCCAACCAGGGAGTCGTGAAGGACTAACAGAAGCCAGTTTTTTGCAGCTTTCTTTCATACCACGACACCATGTCATGCACTGACCACCTCTCCGCTTCTTCCAACCAGTCCCAGAGTCGGCAAATAATGCACGACGTGGAATTCTCTGGGACGACATTCGGAGAACATGTTCAAGCCACCGAAGTCGGTGTTTCAAGATGGTGACACCAATTGAATTATCATCTCTGTGCCCGAACACACGATGCCGAACCTCTGCATTACTGACATGGTGTTGCCACTGAATGTCAGCAATCCTTCGGAGACAGCGATGATCGAACACAGAGAGTCGTCTAACGTCCTCAACTCGGAGAGACCAGTTTTCACAAGCATAGAGCAAAACTGCTCTCACCAACGCGTTGTAGATTCGACCTTTTACAGCTAGACTAACATCGCGAAGGCGCCAAAGGTGGCCCAGATTGGCATAAACCGCTCTGGCTTTCACTATACGTGCATTGATCTCATCAGTCAGGCCACCACCAGCACTTATGCAGCTACCCAGATACACGAACTTCTCGACTACGTCTATCTGCTCACCATCCAGAGTGAGTACAGGATTGGAATCCTGCCAGTCTTGTAGAAGTACTTTGCACTTGGAAGGTGCAAAGCACATACCGTACTTACGGACACTGGTTGCCAACTGATTAATTGCGGATTGCATGACTTGGGCATTATCGCACAGTAAGACAATATCGTCCGCATATTCAAGGTCGAGAAGTCTTTCTCCAGGCAACAGATCCACACCGCCATTACTTACATCCGTCAGAGCTGTTTCCAGAATGTCATCGATGGCAAAGTTGAGGAGGAATGGTGAGACTGGGCAACCCTGTCTAACCCCACTGCTCGAATGGAACAATGGAGAGAGGTGGTTGTATGCCCTCACTCTGCCTGGGGTGTTTGTATATGGGGCCTTTAGGATGTTAACGAACTTCTCAGGCACACCCTTCTTCACCAGACAATCCCAGAGAACAGTCCTGTCCAACGAATCGAAGGCAGCCCTGACGTCAAGAAACACTACGATTGTTGGCCTTTGAAAAATATGGCGGTGTTCTAACATTTGATAGAGAAGTGCTGATGGGAGATCTAAACACCAAAGTCGGAATAGACAACACCGGAAATGAAGATATCATGGGACGACATGGATTGGGAGAGAGAAACGAGAATGGGGAAAGATTTGCAAATCTGTGTGCATTCAACAAATTGGTCATAGGCGGCAAAATATTTCCACACAAGCGTATACACAAAGCTACATGGACCTCACCGGCCCACACCACATAGAACCAGATAGATCATATTTCCGTGAATAAAAATTCCGAAGGACAATGGAAGATGTGAAAACCAGGAGAGGAACTGACATAGCTTCAGATCACCACCTAGTTGTGGCCAATTTAAAACTGAAACTAAAGAAGAACTGGACAATTAGCACTACAAAGGTTCAATACAGCCTTCCTTTGAGATACTGACAAACTCAATGAATTCAAGGTAGCTCCTAACAACAGGTTCCAAACCTTACAGGATCTACTGAAGGAAGAAGAAACTACTATGGAGGAAAACTGGAAATGTATAAAAGAAGCATTAACTTCAACGTGTCAAGAGGTGATGGGCCGCAACAAGCATCATCATAAGGAATTGATCTCTATAGAAACACTGGACAAGATCAAAGAAAGAAAGAACAAGGAGACAGCAATCAACAACAGCCGAACACGAGCAGAGAAAATCAAAGCACAAGCTGAGTACACGGAAGCAAACAAGCAAGTGAAGAAGAGCATCAGAGCCGACAAGCAGAAATACGTGGAAGAACTAGCAACGATGGTGGAAAAAGCTGCGAGAGAAGGAAATATGAAACAACTATGTGATAAAACGAAGAAACTGACAGGGAAATATAGTAAATCAGAGAGACTGGTCAAGGACAAAGAAGGCAGGACAATCACTGAAATTCAAGAACAGCGGAACAGATGGGTAGAGTACTGCGATCCAATTTTAAAGTCATAACAATACATAAGGGGAAAACTAAGGTGCTCAAATTCCAAACGGAGAAAAGCAATCCAATCACTCTTGATCGCGAGACCCTGGAAGATGTAGAATCCTTCACATACCTGGGAAGCATCATCGATGAACAAGGAGGTTCAGATGCAGACGTAAAGGCGAGGATCGGCAAAGCCAGGGTCGCATTCCTACAACCGAAGAACATATGGAACTCAAAACAACTTCTAACCAATATCAAAGTGAGAATCTTCAATACGAACGTCAAAGCAGTTCTACTGTACGGAGCTGAAACTTGGAGAACTACAAAAACCACCATCAAGAAGGTACAAGTATCTATAAACAATTGTCTACGCAAGATACTCAACATCCATTGGCTGGATACCATCAGCAATAGCCTTCTGTGGGAGAGAACAAACCAGCTTCCAGCTAAAGAAGTTAGGAAAAAACGATGGAAATGGATAGGACATACATTGCGCTAATCATCAAACTACATCACGAGGCAAGCCCTAACTTGGAATCCTGAAAGGAAGCGGAAAAGAGGAAGGCCAAACAACACATTACGTCAGGATATAGAAGCAGATATGAAAAGGATGAATAACAACTGGATGAAGCTGGAAAGGATCGCCCAGGACAGAGTTGGATGGAGAATGCTGGTGTGCGGCCTACGCTCTTTCACGAGTAGTAACAGGCGTAAGTAAGAAGATATGATCAATACATCTTCGTTAAGGACGACAACCAGACTGCTCCTTGCCAGTCAATCTTTCTCGGGTCTGAACAACCTACGAAGTATGACGGAAGCCAATAGCTTGGACGCAATCGGAAGTAGACTTATCCCCCTATAGTTCTTGCATAGATTGCGTGAACCCTTTTTAAAGATAGGGACGATTATCGACTCACTCTATGACGTTAGAACACTCTCTAACTTCCAAACCTTTGTAAACAACGTCGTCAATTCTTTAGTTAAAAAGTCACCACCATCTTTAAAAAGAGCCGGAGGTAAGTCATCTGGGCCCGTTGATTTGTAGCGTTTCAAGAGTTGGAGTCCCTTGCGGACATCTGCCTCATTTTGTGGATCAGTCGTCACGGGCCATGGAGGGAAGGACAGTCTGATCGATGTTGCCGGAGCAGCTGGCCAGTTGAACGTCCTCTCGAAAAACTCTGACTATCGTCCAAGACGTCGTTTGATGTTAGCGATTGGCATCCCGTCATCTGCACAGATTGTTTCGCTCACACCAGACCTCTTGCCGCCAGTGGCTCGGATGAGTTGGAAGAGCTTCCAATCGTTACCAGATGCAGCTGCTGCTTCCAGCTCATTAGCACGCTTCGACCACCAGGCTTTTCGGTTCTTACGCAAGCTTTACCCGATTTCATTACGTAACATCCTTCGTTTCTGGTCAAACTCAAAGTCACCCGGAGTAGACTGACGGGCTTCGATAAGTTGCAAGGAGCATGAAGAAACCCAGTCCTTATAAGCGGGACGTTTCTCGAAGCCACATGCGACTATACTCGCCATTTTCATGGTACTGTGCAATTGCAACCAATGCTCATCTATACTTTTCGCTGGGATGATAGATAGCCTAGAAGTTAGCTCGGTTCGATACTTACTAGCAACAGAAGCTGCAGTCAGTTTACTGACATCAATCCGTTTAGGACGATGAATTTGTTGGCCACTGAAAGGAAGGTAAGGTTGGCGCAAACAAGGGCAAGACCAGAGCCTATATAGTTACTACGAAAGTAGCGGCAGTTTTGTACACAACCACGCCAGGGGTAGCTGATCGTCATGTGCCCAATCTGAGTCCAGGACTGAGATGCAGAGGGAGGACGCCAGAAGGCACATCGGCGATGACTGTGCCGAAAGTTAGTGCTAGCCAGAAACAAGTTGTGGTCTGTGCACAGTTGCAGTAGACGGTCCCCGTTATCGGTCCTGCGACCAACAAGTCCCCATCGGCCACCTAAACGACTCTCTTCTGTGCCTAGACGCCCGACCTGAGCATTCAAGTCTCCGGCTAGTACTACAATATCTGTCAAACGCACTTTCTGGGGAAGAACAGATAACTGGTGGTAAAACTCATCCTTGATTGCATCCGGGCTGCAATCTGTCGGGGCATAGGCGGAGATGACGAAGAGACATCGTTTCTCACGCCGATTTCTTCTCACTTTGATGGAACTTTCTAATCCAACAGCACATAACCGACTGTTAATGGGGATCTAATCGACTAGTGCTGCCTCAGCCCTAGCGCTTAGTGCGACACCAACGCCAGCGAGACCAGACGTGGATACCACAGGGTCCCCGGATAAACGCACATAAATCAAGCTTATCGAAGCGACAGACGAAGAGCGAATTTGTAGTACTTCGCTAGGGTCTTAAATACGGGTTTCGGACAGACAACAGATGTCGATATTAAGACTTTCCAAAGACCTGGAGGTCTAGAGGTCCAATCCACAAGACGGTGAAACAACGTTATGAGATGCAGTCAAATGGTAGCCGGTGAACAATAATTGGTTCATACGCCATTAGTTCCCTCGCGATCCTGGAAACCATTGGTTTAGAATCAGGGTTTTCCAACTCCCATAGGTGGATCCTCCGTATCCATCAACCCGGTTAAAGCACAGGATATTCGTTTTTCGTCCTCTCAATCTCGTAAACAACACCCCAGCCACGAGAAGGTAGTGAGTAGGACTTCACTGGCAGTGGTTGTATGCACATGGCCATGTGAGAGCATTTCGGGAGAGAGAGAGGTCGGAGTCTCCCCACTCTCGGGCGTACCAGGGCATTTGTGCATTACATATTATATTCACACAGTCAGTCAGCTACAACGTAGGACCAGGCACATATGTGCATCGGTCCAGGTTGCCAGGTTGGCCGCCCCTAACTTTCTTCCAACCATCTCCAATACCGGATAGCATTGCACGTCGTTGTAGTCGGTGTTCAGGCATACGTAACACGTGGCCCAACCATCTCAGTCGATGAAGATTCACAACCTCATCGACTGATTTACCATCATTACCTAATACCCTGCGTCTAACCTCACCATTACTTATCCGGTGATCCCAGCAGACGCCAGCAATATTTCTAAGGCATCTGTGGTCAAATACTAGTAGCTCACGGGTGTCTACTACTCCTAAAGGCCATGTTTCGCTGCCGTAAAGTAAAACAGAACGGACTGCCGCGCAGTATACTCGTCCTTTTATTGATAGATGGATATCTCGCCTTCGCCAAAGGTGACGCAAGTTGGCAAAGGCCAAGCGAGCTTTTCGAATCCGTGCTGAGATTTCGTCAGACACCAACCCATTAGGACTGATCAGACTTCCAAGATAAGTGAAGTTGCCAACGCGTTCGACTACTTCACTCCCTATCCTTAGTTCAGGTGTTGACGCAGACCAGTCCTGAAGCAACAACTTTCATTTAGAGGGAGAGAAGCGCATTCCAAACATTCTCGCATTGTTGCTTAGTGCTACCAAAAGACTCTGCATTTTATCGGCGTCTTCACCAAACAGAACTATATCATCTGCGTATTCTACGTCGATAAGTGGACCTCCTGGACAGAGACCAATACCCGAGAATTCAGTCGACGAGAAAGTTATTTCCATCAGTAGGTTTATGATGAAGTTAAACAAAAATGGGGAAAGTGGACAGCCTTGACGGACACCACTTGAGGTTGTGAAAGTAGATGACAGTTCGCCATAAGCTCTGACTCGATTAGTAGTGTTCGAGTAAAGAGCCTTTACAAGGTTTATGTACTTCTGGGGTACGCCTTTCAATGACAGACACTGCCACAGAATCTCGCGGTCTACGAAGTCAAATGATGCTTTTAAGTCGAGAAGAGACCACCATTTTGGACGCCTGTGTTGTAGAACATGACGAATGGTGAATCTGTGGTCGATGTAGCCACGACCAGGTCTGAAGCCAGCTTGGTTCTCTCGTGTTTGCAGTTCACGAGTCTTAGTTAGGCGTCTGATAATTATCGAGGCTAGTATTTTAGATACTATATTAGTTAAACCAATCCCTCTGTGGTTGTCACAGGATGATTTTGACCCTTTCTTATATATTGGAACGATAAGTGATTGCGACCAGTTAGATGAGATAACGTCTAACTCCCAGATTTTAGCTAAAATATTAGTCAACCTAATCATTAAAATTGGACCACCGTCCTTAAAGACTTCTGGAGCCAGTCCATCTGGACCAGCTGCCCTTCCTCGTTTCAGATTAACTATAGCCTTTTGAACTTCAGCAAGAGTTGGGGGACCTACTTCATTGTTCCATTCACACTGTCTGGGAACGGAGGGTAGTTGTAGAGTAGCTGAAGGCCAGTTGAACTGCTGAATACATTCGATTGTTCCCACCCTTGTTCCGTTCACTACAACTCTACTCCAAATCATCCTGAACTTTTTTAAATAACCTTTTTAATTTGCAAATAACACAATTTCGAAGTATATATGTCGTAACAGATGTAAACGTTTACCATTTTTAACACATAACATTGTGAAATTCATTAATACAAGCCTTATTTTGGCATTTTTAAATTATCATAATTATAGAGCCTGATGATGAGGTTATTGAAACCAATTGTTCGCTCAATACATAATACACAAGAAGTCTTCATTTGTTTAGAAAAACAGACTGATTGTGTTTATAGTCGAAAGTATTGTGTTGAACCAAAAAGGATGAAGATATTGTTGGGGGAAGAAGTCTGCTAGCAGTCTGCTCGATGCAGATTGAGACTAAGGCAAATCCTGATAACTGTCGCGAACGGTATAATAAAAGCACGGGTAACATTTACTGCAACATTCGCAGATGTTACTGAAGCTTCGACTGTTAAGTGGTATGACTATTTTAGGGATATATGCGTAATAACAATTATAAGCTTACACATCTAGAGTGCATACAAACAATAGTGAAGCTATGTGGTCGAAGCTGATATAGTTTTTGTGACCTTATTATGGCTCCAGAGGTCGACTATTATGGAGCCATATGTATGAGTCCTTCTACCGTATGCATTACTATTTTAGAACCTCTGAACCTTGTCAAGTTTTCGAACTCTGTGAAAAAATGTGTATCCGTTTTAATTCTTTAGTTTTGTATATTATATTTTTACTCTATTACTATCTGTTTCCTGATTGTCTAATATTTCTCAAGGTCACTTTAGTTTCATTCAAGGGTCTCCCATAAAGTATAATCTCGCCAACACGCCTGACACAGGTTGTGCGATTAGTAGACACAATGATGTGTTAAATCAGATAAAAAAATAACTTGTTAAAATATTTTAATGGCAAAAACAGGTAGCACAGATATTCGTGCAGGCCGCCAGTTAAGTTAGTGAAGATGGTATGCCTAGTTCTCCTATCATTAAATGTCACCAATAAGTTTATCAAATTATGGTAGATTGTTATAGTCCTGTGGAATGCAGTTCTTATTTTATTAATTAAGTTTTCGTTTTTCGTACAGCACAACTATGGGTTTAGAAGAATATTGGTCTGAAAAAGTTCCTTACACACCCGAATCACGAATTGAAACACATGAATATATGCAACAAAAAGAAAAATCAAGACAAGAAACAAAAAACTCAAGGTACCTAAATCACATAATAGTATGTAATGTTTAATTTATGAAATAGGAATCCTATTGAGATTTGTTTCCATATATATGCTAAATTAGATTAACGTTTACAAGTATACCACTTTGACGAGAAGTCAATATGGAGTAAAGGATAACCGATTTTAAGAATTAAAACTCATATTTTTTAAATATATCGATGTGCTTTTTTTATTCATAATTCAGGTTTCCATACACATTTTCCTGCTTGAACATCTGCATCAGTTAATTGAAAAAAAAAACAGAGTACAAGCAAAATGTCAGGAGGGCCCGGTAGCAAAGATATGTGTATGGGGACCAAATAAAGTTTTCGCAGGAACAAAACTGTTAGTAGTATCAATTGCGGATGATGATTGAATGGGTGGCACTTCATTTGAAAATAACAGGTGTTTCTCCTGAATAAATAACAGCCATATCCAACTACAATGTTGATTTTTATTCTTATTATAATTCAAAGGTTATATTTTGAAGATGGATATACCGGGTATCATGACGTTTCTACCTTTTATAATTGCATTTTACGCACTTTACACAATAGCAGATTCTGGGAAGTCTCCAGATTTCATTTTACTCCTGTGTAGATTCTGATGGCTCCTTAGAAAGCCAATTACAAACTTTTAGTGCTCGATTTCTTATGCATTATATTTATCTTAAGATCCTTTAAAATCGGAACCTTTCTGTTGCGCGCATCTCAGAGTCACAAACAGATCATGGAGAGCCTTAGAATGTGTAATAGATTAGATAACAAACAAAGTTGCTTCATTTTTAAGGCACTTATAAATTCTTTATCTCTTTGGTAAATTCATATTTGAATTTTAGGTTGGAATTGCTAAAATTCTAAAATACCAATAGAAGTTACTGGTGTATTTAAAAAAAACTATATGGAAGTTTAGGTGACACAACTGTTCACCTCTAGATCAGACAATATTGAGTTTCACCAATGAAAGTGAAAATAACAGCTGATCGATACTTCCCGCTGTTATCATCCTTAATTTTCAAAGTGACTCATGCTGCTGTTTTATTTAAGAAACTAGATTAGTTCTACTTGATTGAGTTTGGTATCAATCAAATGCAACCTCTGACTCTTGGATATGTTTATTGTTCGAAGATAAGGTATATTGATGAGCCGCACACGTGCGTTCAGTTTGTGTATAAAAGTTCAGTGCATTCATGGGATTTATATCACAATCAAAACCATCAACAGCTTTGAAACCCTTGAACTTTTTCATAAAAGCCTTTAATCTGGTATGCTTCATTAAAAGGCAGTTATCAAAATTTACCACCAAATAATCTTTAATAATGTTGATCCCCTCAAATAGTTTTAGGGCGTTTTTTTGTATCTTTTCGGTCATGAAGTAAGATAGGTTAAAGTTTTAAGATAGTTGAAGAAATAAACTTACATGATATATACATACAAAGTTTTACGTAATAAAATCTTCTCAGGATAGAACCGCGAGTAATCACAAAATATTTTGCCGAAGACGGCCGACCATACAATATCAACACAGCTAAGTACGTTTGTATGATTTTTTTCGTTATTGTATTTTGTTCGCTATTTGTCTAGTCCAAACAAAATCGCTTACTGATTTATTTATGAACACCATCTGTTGATATATGTTCCACCTGAAGAACTGTTTTTTCTTGGTTTTCGTTATATTCAAAATGTCAAGTTAAATATCAGTCAAACAGATAGACCGAAAATGTGAACATATGTGATAACGAATCGTGGTCTGAACCTTATACTGTACTAAACTGAATATATAGAAATTATTCGTCTTGTGCTGGTTTTTCTAAAGTTATCACATCTGTTGGCCTTGAATCTCCATAGTGGTAAGAAATTTCACGGCTATAAATCAAAAGAACACACTGTCTCATTCGAAATGCGTCAGACGTTACACTGAATAGCTGTAGCAAATATAACTCTAATTTTGTCCCAGTGAAGTCCACTTCAAAATAGAGTTTTATACATACTTTACTATTCATATTGGTAATTTGATTTTATCGCGTCAATGTAGATTGACAGCTTAGGCTTATGCACACTTTTGTCAGCCCCAACTTTGATTATGACAGACTAATAGTACTGTTGTTTGGGTAGCAACAAGTTCAAATGCAACGGCGGTTTGGAATTAAGTTTGTCGGTTAAGTAATTTCATATTTTTTTCAGACAGTCGTCATAAATTAATGTAGCAAATGTAGTTTATGACATACAATCTGTTAGTTTCTATGAGAATTATAAATTCATTTGACTGAAGTTTTGAAACTGTATTGGCTTTAGTTGCGTGAATGTCATTCGTGAACTAATTGACACTAAATCTGACAAATAGGGTAGTTTTATGCAATAATCAAGGTGCGATATATCCAAGTGCAGTATATTAATAAAGTTTAAAATACTATAAATCCGTATAAATTATTCGTTGGAAATGGTTTCTGTGAACTAAATTATGTCGTGTTTTTTTCCATTGTGTTTAATAATTCGTCTGTACCCAGAAAACTACAAAATATGGACTTGTTTTACAAATAATTAGCGCTTATCTTGCAAAAACAATTTCGAGAATAAAAACATTGATTGGGATATGTGCGAAGGAAGTAAACATTTGTTACGCATTGAATGTTCAGTTGGGAGGTTGTTATAAAAGTTATGAAGTAGTTAACGGTTATGCAAAGTACGTTACCATAGCTGTGAATAGTCGATGGTAACTTCGTCTTTCTTATGTAAACACACCCACAATCTCGTGTGTTATCACGTATTTTGATAAGTTATTTCCAGAAGACAAACCGTTACGTGCACTCTCTAAATATTATAATTTTTTGGTATTCGGGTTGTTACAACGAATGTATGGAATGAATGAATTCATTTCGCTCTTCTAGAACAACTGTTCTTGATGGATTAAGCACCTCATATTGATATGTAATTCTTCATTTTGACCGAAGTTAGCAAGCTGTGACCAACGTAATGTTTAACGATTCAGATAATTAGTTACCTATGAACTTACAATCCTCAAACAATTAATATGAACAAGGTGTCCCGAATCAGGAATATAACTTAATGAAATTTCGCTGCCTGATAGACAGCTTTTATGACTGCATCCCATAATCAAACTGTCTAATCTTTTAGGATAGAGTTCAACCTCAAGGAAGATATATTAGACGATCACGATGTTTACATACTCGATGTTGCTGTATATAAGTGAGTCATTCATGCTTAGCAACTTTTATTTTTGTGTGAATAGTGATCTTAACATGAATCATTCAATTTGATGCTTTCTCATATGTTTTCTCTTATTTTTAATCATACAAAGAAAAGCAATTCTCAGAGCACGAGTTGTACGCACATCAGTATACTAAACATTAACTTCATTTTAATCTTTACAGATTTTGTTATTTATACTTTCGGAAGGTGGATATGCTCTATCAGAACTAAACATCGGTGATCATTTCTATAAAATTTTACAAAGTATCAATTAATTAGGTGACTAGATTCGATTTACAATACAGTAATGTACATTAATAATAATAATAATAATAATAATAATAATAATAATAATAATAATAATAATAATAATAATAATAATAATAATAATAATAATAATAATAATAATAATAATAATATGTAAGTAAACTGTTAAGAATATTCTTAATCTCAATAATGATTTTTTTCAAATCTAGTCATCAGAAAGGAAGAATGCCACGATCAGTAAAAACTGGATAGAAGGCGAAAGAAGCCCATTTATTCATCAAAAAGCGTGATGTTTCAGTGAAGAAAATTTTCTTTTCGAGATATAATTTTCTAAAGCTGCACAATTGTATTTTTGGGTAGTTTTTACATATATTAGTCTATATTAAAACAGAAGGGTGCTACAAAATCATTAAAGATAGTCAAACTCATTCGAGTGTCAAATGTAAAAGTCTATGAAAATGAAGTAGTGTTGCATAAATGTAGTCATGACTGTCAGAAGATTTCAAGTATTGAATATAATAATGTGTAAATAGAAGGGTGTTATTCCAATGTAATCAGTGTTGCATCTTTGACTATTTTGTAACGAACCTCTATTATATTGAACACTACTACTTATAAAAATTGCTCAAAAATACGATTACACAGATTCAGAAAATGATATCGTCGAGAATAAATTCTTCACTGAAACGTTTTCATTGTTTAAAATCCGATAATTACTTCAAACACTCAGGGATTATAAACAGATCTATGTGGTCAAAATAGGTACATGGTGTTCATTAGCCATTAATTGTTATCGCAGTTTCAGCTCTTTTTTTGCTACAAGTCTTTCTATGATCTGAGAGATTTAAAAACTAAACTCTGATTGCAAAACGAGCAACAATGTAAATATCAAATGTACGTATTCTATGAGGAGAGTATCTGGAAACTATTTTGTAAGCTTTTGACAAAATCGGGTTGGAATATGAATTCTTTTTAAGAGGGAATGCTTTTCAGTATTCACTCGTTTTTATACTATATATATGTCGTGGTAAAACATCCATCTCATGTTGAGATTTGCTCTGAATATTCATTTGATAAGGATTCGGAAATTTTATTAGTTTTTTATTGAACAATGTTCTCACTATACGGTCAAAATTTTTTGATTTACTAAGTTTGAATTATACTTTCTGTTAAGATACAACCTGTTTATCATTATGTCGTGAGAAATTACCCGAATTTACTCTGATGGTACATAAATAATATTTTCGGAATCTTATTAAATTTTAATGTGTTTTTCCTACTCAAAATACTTTTTTCATAATAGGCATATGGATACAGCTTTGATAAAATGCGACATACAAGTCAATTACGTTCGAGTAACACTTAAAAGAAAGGTAAGATAATCATGAAATCTTATAAACAACAGACGAGTAAGTTCGTTTTTACTAAGTCGTCTGGGCCTGGTGATTCGATGTACTTTATTGCTCATTTAAATATCTTAAAATAAAGGACGTTGCAAATCATCAGGCTGTTATGGTTAGATTTGAGACATATTCTTGAGGATATTTCTGGTAATCGAACTCCATTAGTTCACATAGCTCGAGTTAAAAACGATTCGGGTAATGTCCGGAAACCTTAACTCAGTGTTTCTAGAAACTCAGTAGACAATGTTTTTGGCATTTAATGCTTGATGGCTTTAAATCCAGAGATAAATACCTTAGTCTTCGAATGATAAGATAGGAAAATGAGATGACAGTGGTACATACCTCTACTTTGTCTTGTGGATCAACTAATTTCTAAACGGAATCTAACCGAGTTGACTTCGATACGTTTTTGTAGACATCATAGTAAATTGCTCTAAAGTTAATTTGAAAAGGTCACAAAGTTATTAAAGTGATGATAGTATGATTAGAGAACAATTCTAACGATGTTCTTCAATGTACCAATAAACATGGTGTATCGCTCAACCTATATTTGATAACTGGGAGCAACGAGTGGCTAGTTAGGATACTTTAAATGGTCTTACATAAAATATAAACTGTATCTTGAATAGGTTCATGATTGACCTTTTCATCAAGCTAAGTAGTTTCAGTTGCAAAGGTGAAGAATTATTCTTCAGTGTTGGACACATGTAACCTGAAATTCATGTATAAGATTTCTTGTATCTTTTCATCATAGTACAGTAGGTCGTTTCGCTACTATGTATGCACAATATATCCTGCCGAGGGAAAAATAAAATTGGTCCAAACAAAGGTCAATTTATTTTCATTAATCCCTTACTGTAATTCAGTCGTCTAATTATCTATGTACATACCCATATGTGTGATTATCTGCACGTCTGTTACTTATTCTCTTATTGGCTGTAAACAGTCAATCATTAGTTCACTAATCATTTACATGTATTAATTGATATAAAAACCACACTCTTCAGATTCTGTTCCCATATCTGGTCTTATTGCTAACATGCTATCTGTTGAGTTAATTCACTTCTGATAAAGATCGATACCAACGCACCTCGTATTTCCTTCTAGAATTCCCAAGTGGAAGTACAATACTCTGAGAATGGGTTTGGAATAGTTAGTTATATTTAAAGTCAGTGAAATAGTAACTTAGCCATACAAAGTTTAATATTGAACAGTAAACCAAGGTTATTACATATGATGCCTTCGGAATATATTCTTCCGTTGATAGACCTTCTGGGAAATCGTAAGATTGAAGCGAATTCTTTTATTGTTATACAAACACAACTTACCATGTTATTGCTTTAATATAAAGTATTTATTCTACCTGTTTTAAAGCTATTCAGTTAAATGAAAAAGGTCGTTAATCGATATGGCCTAAATTGATTACAAAATACTCGGTTTTGTTGATTTACGTGTTCACAACAATGCATATTTTGCCTGTTATTTTTCTAGGTTTTCCAACTAGCTTTACCAGATGAAGTTAGAGCCGATGCTTCACATGTTAAGCGTTCTTTAACGACAGGACATTTGCTGATTACTATGCCAAAGGTATAAAGTCGTTATCAAGTTAATCAAATGTTTATCACAATCCTAAATTCACATGCTTTAAACGATGTACTTTGCCCTTAACCTGGCCATTTTTCGAATTAATAATTTGGATATATAATTGTAGAAACTGAAGAGAATTTATCGAAAAGAATATTCTTCGTTCAAATACTAGTCTTTTACCTGTTGAAATCATGAGTCAATTGAAGCTAGACCACCATGGAAAACCTGGACGGCCGTCTCGTCCTAGTATGGGACTCCTCAGCAGTGCTTCCAGGGTTTTCATGGTGGTCTAGCTTCAATTGACTCATAATTTCAACAAGCGAAATTTCTAAAATTCTCCACAAAATCCATTCTGACACTAGTCTTTTAATCAGATGTATTAATCTCTTGCTTTTCACATATATGATCAAAGAAATAAATCGCCAAAAAAGTGAAATATTTTCCTTTTGCTACTTTGTTTATTGAGATAAGGTTTGTCCTGGATCTTTACAGCCTAGCTTAGACATTCCTGATGTATATTAACCTTGTATCCATTATTTTAAAGCTAGAAAGCAAGCATACAGATTATTGTCATGATCTTGTCGGAGATTTTGTACACCTAGCCTAATACGCATTACTAAATCTATTTGTAAATGTGACATTGATGGCAGGCTAAAAGGAGAGAGAAAGCAGAAATAGCTTTCTTAGAGAACGCCATTGATCTATGTTGCGGATAAATGCAATCAATAATATGGAGTCTGATCATCAGAAATTGCTAACTTTGAAACACGTAGAATTTATAACAAAAACCCACAACTGTTAACATACACCTGCACAAATATCATGATGCTAAAATAGATCAGATCCATCTATATACCATGTAGCTTCCTCACTGAAATAATTGGTCTAGAACAGTATAAACCTCCCAATTTGATTGGTTATTATTGACCTTTAACCTCATTGTCTGAACGTTTATTTTGCTTGCCTCCCCTTTTGACATGATATTTGATTTATATTTATCAATGAATTTCCCAATTCAGTTGATTTCGATATGTTTACTGATTGACCTTAGTGTCAAGAAGTTCTATGGTTGTCTATACATTTCCTTTGTTCCAAACTTCAATACTTTTCCAGTTGAATATATCTATAAAATTACAAATCATTTCATTCTTATCCAAACCAATGTGAAATGACAAAAGAAGCAAAGCAAAACGCCATCGAAACAAACTGCTAAAAACACTACATCGGACAGTGAGCTGTCTTCATCTTCGTACTCATGAACACCAACTAGCTGTCAAACGCCATTATGAGTTCTTACTTATATCAATGAACGCGCACAGTTATGAACACAAATTCAACTAGGAAAATGCTTAAATTTTAGATAAAGAAGACCAGACACGGCATGTTGTCAGTCACATGTGACGAAATCGAAGCACATCGCTTCTGTCTGAAGTTTGTGCTGATGACGTTATTCGAGAAAACAATGGTAGCTCAACGAATAAAATATCTAGGTCAGAACAAAACTGCAACCGAGCAAACAATCTTCACTATCGCAGAACTACCACCGGTTCATCAACAGAGGTGGTTCGGACCTGTTTTACATAAAAGTATAAATTAGAAAAGACAGTAGGTAAATCAAGACTATGTACCACTTCGTGAGGCTTCCAACTGCAAATCCCGGCAGTTTAGAGGCATGTAAAGACTTCGATGTTGTGTTTCGCGATAAAATTCTAATGGTGATAGACTTTATGTGATAATGTTTAATAATCGATCACAGCTTTGAACATGCTTCATTATTTGTACTTGATCTTATTACTATTCATTACCTTTTTTAGCTTTATTCTTATGTCTAGATTCTAGCTCCTGTTGGTATTGTGGTTTCACTTGTGTTATCTTTATCTTAGTGGGCTGGGGTTAAGTATATGCATTCTTGATGATACTGATATATTTGGTTTCTAATTTGGCAAACATCATTCTCGCAATTCTGGAAACTTAGGAATCTAACAATTGCTGACATACTTTGCCACTGCAAACTGCCTAAATTGTGTACAGTAATATCGATATTCAGAAACTAAGTAATGTTTTTGTTAGGTATGCAGAGGAATATACCAATAATTATCGTGTTAAGTCGAATGGTGTCCTTGGACGTTATATGGACACTTCCTATTGGTCGATGTTCATCTCAGTTGTTAAATATTGTGTAAATGTTGTTTTCCATTTTATGGTACGATTTGGTTTGTTTGGTTGGTATATAAACAGAGTATGTCTGAAATATAATGATTCATAACTCAGAGGCTGGGACTTGCGCTCTAGACTCAACTGGCTGGGTTAGACAGCGAAGCAGGGCCAATCGGGACACTAGGTCGTTCATTACGTGTTTACGTGTCACAGAAGCGATCGATAACTACGCTGCGCATCTAACCTGCAAACCACCCGTTACAACAGTTTTCAAATGTCATTATTCTTATAGAATAATCAAAGTAGACAATACTACGTTGATGTGCTGTTTGAACGATAAAACAACATATAAGTCTGTCCGCGAATAACGATTTCGAAAGGCACATCACGGTAATCAAAATTTTCAATATGAAGAACCTAGTCAAATTTTGACCAGCAAAAATATCTGATGCGTCTATATGTTTACTGAACTTCTGTCATATTTCTCTGTATTCCATGAATCAAATGTGTTCATTAGTTCGTGAGGGTGACAATCTTCATATAAACGTATGAGAAATCTTTTAAAGATGAGTGCCTTAACTGTAAGAATTCCTAATTTTATAACAATATTGGAAATAGACCGATATCCATCGATGAAGATTGATTTACCACTTTTAACACAGAATGAAGGCTGTTTATTTATTTTTAACCAATAGCTGTAAATTATCAACAGTAAGGTATGTTAATAATATTTTCGCTAAATTTATACACAGGCATCTCAGGAAATCAGAATATCGGCAAATAATGAACATAAAAGTTCTCACGAAAAAACCAACAAAACGTAGGTTGTATACGTAAAATGTTTTTGTAATTATCCCACAACGTTTTTGATAAATTTGCGTAATTTCAATTGTTGCGTTTGGCTTCCATTCGCTTTATATTCATTTGCATAGTTGATAAATTTAGATAATGTCTTTTCAAACCTGAATCCTTTTAAATCTAGAAATAATTGAATACAAGGATTGTTTTTGTTGTAGTATTTCTATTATTGTTGCAATCGCTTCTCCGCCTAAAAATTTGTCACTATTTTTGCCTTGTTGAACTTTCAGAAATCATATTTTTGTTCAGGATTTTAATAAGCCAAACGCTACTTTTAGTGAACTCTCTGAAAACAATTCATCAAAATGTAAGAAATCGCTTCTTCACATCAAAAAACAATCGACGACCCCAAGAATGTACAACGAATATATTGAAGACTGTTCAGACGTTCCACCGCTTATTTGATTCGTGGGATTTACAAACAAACCGTTTATATTTTGGACTGTTAATTTTGATTTATGAATGTGAACAAACTTAAGTTTGAATATTTATTTAGAAAGACACTGATTTATTTTGTTTTCCTCACGCTTTGCATTTACAAAATACTACATGGTACTTAGCCTCACTTTCAGGAAATGAGCCTCTGTTTGAACTAAAGAGAAAGTGCATTGGGTTTCCAGAGGGAAAAGAATCTGAAATATCTATTTTCTATTGATCCGAATAAACCTTGAGATGTTATTTCAATGTTTCCTACTCGTATAAGTTAGTGTCACAGTTACTAGAAACAGTTGTAAATCCAGTCAAGCCTTGGGAAATTTCGGTTTGTGTGTTTATTGATATACCGAGTACCTAAGAAATTTTACAAGAATGCAGTAACGATAGTGTGGCAAAGAAGGTATATGTAATTGCTAATCATAATAAATTATGCAAACGATAAATGTTTTAAGAAATCAAAATTAACCTATTTGTGCATGCATTATGTGGCAAATTAATAATTTCGAAAATTCAGTTTGATGTGAAGTAGAGATTACGCAGATTAGCTCAATACATTGAGAAATAATATATACAAACAATACAACAGTAAGTGGAAAAATCTATAAAATCAATTTCTAGTGCTTTAAAAATTGAACTTCATCCTGTGCGCATAAACACGGAAATAGCAAACAAATGAAATATACCCACTCAAAATGCTGAGGTTTTAGAAAGAAAACATTAAAAAATTATGACGTACAAGTGAAGGTTTCGTTATTGGTTAAAAGTAAGATATGAACTAATAGAAACCGGTGATCTTCGCTTTCACGAATAAATCTGTTTTGAATAGAAACAATTTGATGGTTGTTAAAATGGACAACCGATTTGTTTTCACGTACATATTGTGAATACTTACATCCGAGTGACTAGACTGTTGAAAGAAGGTAAAACATGTGAACGATTATTTGGAAAACCAAGATTGACATCACCTTCATTCTTTATATTTTCGACTGTGTGATCTTCTTCAGTGGAAGAAATGTCATTAAATAACTCCCCATTTAGTTGTCTCGAATCGCAAAGTACAACTGAATTACCAGTTTCAGGTGAGGCTTGTATAAAGATTAGAAAAAGTAAAACAGTATATAAAAGGGTAAGACACCTCAACGTGACAATATATATATATATATATATAACATTAGGCGGTTAATGAAGTAGCAGAAACGAGACTTGAACGTGTGTAATTCGTAAATGGAGAGTGCTACCGGTGATAACCATGGATTAATAGCTGGACAATGAACTTATTCAGAAAAAAAACAGTGTTGTCCTTCGAAGGTTTTACATCTGCCATCTCAATTCAGTATTTTCAAAGGATAATGATCTGTTACTTTGAATGACAGGTTCAGTACAGAATATCTAAATGCATCCAAACGAAAAGCAAAGCGCGTTTTTACAGTAAACCACAATCAAACAGAACTAACATATAGTTGTAAGTTTATTGACAACTTTTGATAAAACAAACATAATTGCTACTTGGGTTTAACAGTCGAAGTTTATAGCCTTCTGAGATTTTTGTGTACAAAATATTAACACGACCAGATGATCCATCAGAAATCACTTTAAAGTATCGACATAATTGTATGGGCATACGAACGACACAAAATTAGAAGGGATTCTTATCTTCTAATTGAAAAATAATTGTTTAGTTTTTATTTACCGTTCAAATTTAAAACAAAAATTAAAATTTTCAAAGGATGAAATAAGCACATGGTACAAAAAGTTGATCAACAGTTTACCGGTGAGTCGCTATGATACACATCGGGAGGAGAATACAGACGTAGTAAACATTGTACTACAAATAACGTATCGAGGAAAGTATGACTATTTTCCCTCAACAAAATTGTGCAGACAATGCAAATGTATGAACTAACGAAATTAGTGGAAGATATTGCTACTCACCAATACTTGAACTATATTCTTGTGTTTTCCTTCTAATTGTGTTATCATGTTGATAGGCACTTTTTCCGTTATCTGGGTTGCGTAAAGCGTGTGTGCTTAAGTAATTTGACGAAAAGTGATCCCGCTCCATATGATGGAGAGGAGATTTTTTAAACTTTGACTCTAATTCTCCCCTGCATAGATTTCTCAATGCCATTGTCCCAGAGCTGTACTCACTTGAACGTGCGATGTGTTTGTAAATAAAGGATCGTAGTAAATGACGATTTTCCTAAAAGTATGGATCCATACTAATTAATAAACTGTATTTAGAAAAGTAATTAAGAACGACGTTACATTTCAGAAACAATAAAGAACCACAAGCCAAGTATTAAAATTACATAGTAATTTTGTATTTTAATTAATAGTACTGCAGTATGTTATGTTACAGTTGGTTTCATATCAGGAGTATTCGCAAAAGTGATAAGACCACAGATCAAGACATTTGTATTGTACAACATTACGCTCATAAGATCAATATCTGAATATTAATCGATCGACTTCAACAAAACTAAAAATATAGATGGGACGCTGCGACCTTTTCTTCCCTCGAAGAGAAGATTTTCCACTTTGTAGTTTACATCATGAATTTATATACGGCAGATATTCAGTGAAAACCAGAAAACTAGTGAGTTCTTTTGTTATTTTACAGGGACCCTATAGTCTAGGAAAATATTTCTAGAGCAACACAGAGATGATAGTAACGACAGTGGATGAGTAAGGTTCCAACAGTAAAAACACTTAAAGATGAAGAATCGAACTATGTTGATGAAAAGTGATAACTTGTTGACAAACATAGTTCTTTGGTCCAGATGGTTAAACGTGAATGAATATTAGAAAAAAGGATGATTATCAGCGAAACCCATTATTATCGAGGAACGAGGAATGTGTATAAAGTAATTATCATGATAATTAATTCATATCATAATGTGGATAAAAATTGATGTTCATCCAACTGTTTCAAACACTAATAATGAGATTTAATTCCTTTTAAATGTAAGAGAGTCAGATATCACTTCATATGTGATAAGTGAAGACATTCGTTATGTCGATTTCAACAATAGAAGTGTTGTTGGTGATGACTAGCATCTCCAGATATACTATTTACTAATGGTAATAATAAGTTTAGGAATCACAGCAAATTCGTTTATCTAAACGATTCATATCGGTAATCGGAAAGATCTTAAATGACACTTCGAGTAACTAATGATCTATGAAGCATTTTTTCATCTGCAATCTAAACTTGCAGTTATTTTGGAGGTCAGTCTACCCTAACAAATCTTGTTAATCTTTTAATTAGCAACATTTTGGAGACAGCTTTATAATGAAAGAAATAGCAGTGAAATACAACTATCTTCTATATGAAAAAACATTTCGATATCAGAACACGACTTGAGTATGTGAACAAAGACATGTTAGTTAAGTTGTACTTAACCATCTGTGAAAAATGTAAAAACTATTTCGATCGTTACAGATGTCGAGTTTTGATAACTTAAAACGTAGGTGAATTTCATGTAGAGTACGTTACAGTTAGCAATAAATAAATTTCTCAATCAGATATTCGAGTATGTTTATGCTGTGAAAATTAAATTAACGAAAATGGTGTTACCTCATCAAAAACGGCGACTAGAAGAAACATAAGTACAGCTGTTAGAGCCATTGCAACTGGTACAACAATTAGCATAGTGAAAGCGTCCAATAGCTGAATGTAAATTGCAATGTATGGAATTCCTAACGTTAGCATCAACTGCGTCAGCACTAAAAAGTGTCTACAATTATAGATAGAAAGAATCAAGGTATTAAGAAGTTTGCTATCGTTGTCATAGACAAAAATAACGTGAGATGCTGCACATACGTTTGTAACTCAGTGATATTGCAAAATGAAATAACAGAACTGTAGTGTAGAGTTACGAAATGGAAACATGATTACATTTCTTAATTAAACCGAAAGCATTGCCTTCTGAATAATCTCAAGTGTAAATGAACTACCTTGATTTAAACCTAGACTAGTCGAAACTAAATGGAAGCTAACGCAATTTCAAACCAGTTAAAACTACCATTAATTCACAGATCAGAATAACCTACAAAGAAATGTCTTCGTTTGTTTTCTGATCAGTAAATCTAAAATGACAATTCGGTTGTTTATCCTCTGAAAAAGGGACTTACACTAAGCGTCAATTTTCTACTTAATATAATAATTACAAATATATCATCATTTTTATCATTGCCAATTTACTAAATACTCAATTAAAAATTATCAAGTCAAACCTTGGTAACGATAGAAAAATCAAATAGTTTGGTAATTCTTGAAACCAATCACTGATAAAAACTGATTAAGCAGTTTCATGGAAGACGATTCATACTACATTTTTCTCTTTATTGATGTTGACTTTTCAGATGAAAGGTTTTGCGTAAATACTAAGAAAGCGTATACAATCTTTCATGAGTAGTAAGTTGCTTTAGTTTAGAAACTGGAATCGAAAGTAGATGCATAAAGCATACGTACGTTGTTTTATTTAGTTTACTTTTGCGAGTAACAAGATAATTTCTGAGAAGAACGAGACCAACTACAAACAAAATAACGAAGTTAAAAGTAACAACTGTTGTTATTGGACCAACAAAAGACCAACGGAGAGTTTTGGGACCAATGCAGCTAAAAGGATAAAAGTAAACAAAAAAATTGTATTAACAAAAAGCAATGTTTGTAACACTTGAATACATGGGTCAGATAAAGGGCAGTCTAATCTATGTTCGCAAAATACGAGATAAATGATAACAGCAACTACTAGTCTCCAAAACGTCAAACAAAAAGAAATAGGTCTGTGTTGTTTGAGCGATGGCAGATGCGTCCGAGTCTTGTTGGGAACACGAAGCTGGTAAGCATGTACAACTAGGCGGGTTTTAATAATGTTGGATTTTACAATTAGGCATGGTAAAAGTTAACTGGACCAGCAGTAAGATTTAAACAAAGACTTTATTTGATGAACGCGCACTGATAATTATCTAGACTCACGTAAAAGGTTTATCGTAGAAAACCTAAAAGATATGAGAGCAATAAAACTACAGTAATATCCACAACCGAGGATACAAAGATGCTAACTTACAGACCACTGTTACTAACTTCTCCTGTGTAGCCAAACCATGTACCAATAATAATTGCAGGACTCAAATAACCTATCCAAACTAATGGCAAACAATTTTTCGGTTTAGAAACAAGGTCATGGTATCGAGAATGTGGTGCAATGCTAGATCAATTTAAAAAAGACAAGAAAGACTTTTATGACTACAGCAGCAATGTACGAATAATCTAACTATTATTATAAAATAGAGAGTTGTACAACATGAATAAAATTGATGAAAATGTAGCAAATGCGGTTAACGGAGTAGATCCCTGCAGTTTCCAGGGCAAATTTTGATCTGAAGGATTCTTAGTGATGATGATATTATATACCGACCAACTATCCACTATTTTCTCCAACTTTCAGTATCGTAGAGCATTGCGCCATATGAGAACTGAACAAATGACAAGCAGAGCGGAGAGTACCATTTGGATTTAAATATACCTAATTATGAAGAATGAGTGATAATATGGTTTTTTGTCGGGGTTGACTAATCTGAGCTAGATTTTTAGTAGCGAATTTTCCTTTCCATTCTGATGACCATAATCGTAACTGGTTATTCATTCAGTTTCATTTTCTTTAATTGTACTTCTGTTCAAGTTGACAGTTCTGTATCATTGAACTTCGACCAGGCTTTACTACTAATTATCATCAATTCAGGCGATGTGATAAATCAATCCTAAAGTAACGTTTTACATTTGGAGGTTGAGGACCCCATCCTAAACATGCTTGCATTGTTGCTTAAGGTGGCCAGAAGACTGTGTTTTGTTAGAGTCTTCACCAAACATAACTATATCACCTGCGTAACTTTAGTCAACAAGTGAATCTCCTGGTAGAAGATCAATTGAAAAGTCAGACATTGGAAGTGTTATCTCTAAAAGCATGTATATGACAAAGTTAAGTAAAAATGGAGAAACATAACAACCCTGACAAGATTCACTTGAAGTAACCGATTCCGATGACGGTTTGTCATAAGCTCTGACTCCACCAATATTGTTCTAGTAGAGAGCATGTACAAGATTAATGTCCTTATCTGGTACGACTTTTATTGACAGACCGTCCCACAGAATCTCACGATCAACTGAGTCGAATACCGCCTTAAGACTACTGTTGGATGTCCAACTAGATAATATGATATGTACCACAATTGCGATTCCAGGACGAAGAGACGGCTGAAGAAAATGAAATCAATTCATTCTACTAATTATACATATCAAAATTCAGAAGTTTAATGTATTTAAAACAAATTAGTCATTAGAAAAAGAATATTGAATTAAAAAACTCCCGATCGTATTATACTACGTAAATATTGCAGACACCTTTATATATATGACAGTGTGTTAAAAACAAAGGCATTTTTAAATCTTTATTATCTTTATACGTTATTATGAAACCAAAAAAACGAATGCCAAGAACTTATACTGTGATTTAGGTGCATTTTGATATTTATCATGCATAAAATGAGAGATTTGACATACATGGAAATGTTGTATAAGAAGGGAGATAATTGTAACCTACATTAAAATTAATGTATTCAACCCAAATATAAATTTCCATGAAAAAGCAGCCAACGGAAAATAGCAAACAGCAACAGCGATGATAGTGCACAAAATTGGCTGTCTGTCAGTTGTATGTGGAATCGCCAAAGAGACAATTGCGCTAACCATTAAGCAAAACGCTATGTTGAATTGATCCAACCGGAAAACTCCACTGAAAAGAAGTAAATTTTAACTGTCTCACTCTTCCAAGTGACGGTAGCACGGACATAGACTAAAATAAAATTTACTCAATGTTCGCCTACAGTTGTGGGCAGCTAATGCAAAAATGCAAAGGCATCGTAGATAAGTAACAGTAGTAACTAGGATCAGAAAGGGATCCCATCTGACTAATCTCGATTGCTGATCGTACCACTTTATTAGCAGAGACCAAAATTCTTTCTTGATAACCGTAGAGTAATCAGTTTGATCAATACCAGCCTGTATAACCGTGCGACGACTATCTGTCGTTTGAAAAAAACAAATCAAGGGGTACCAAACTGGCATCAATGCAAAATGTTACTTCAGGGTTAGTTTGTATCAACGCCTGAACTGATGATAGTGAGTAAAGTAGTTGAGCGCGTCGATTACTTCACTTATTATGAAAGTTGAACCAAACCTGGTGGGTTGGTGTCTGAAAAAATCTCGACACATTTCAGACAGTTCGGTTAGCTTTTGCTAACTTGCATCACTTGTGACGCTAGCGAGATGTCTGTCCACCGACCTAAGGAACACTATACTCCTCAGTAGTTCGTTCTGTTCTACTTTATGTATATGAAACGTAGCCTTTGAAAATATAGAGGGAAATTCTCACGTCAATACTCATTGAACATAGATATCTTTGGAACATTGTACGCGTATGTTGGGATCATCTAGTGAGCAAAGCTGGGTTTAGACGCAGAGTACTGGATAGAGATGGCAAATTGGTTGATGCGGTTAAATATTTCACAGACTTATAGGTTTTAGGGAGGTTCCAAAAATCTATTGAACTACACTGGCTTTTGAGGTTCAAGAAAACCTAGTCTTACAAAAATATAATACGGGGTGATTTTACTGTAAGAGGATAGTAGGCAGGAGGAAGGTATGTTCATTGTGAGAAGTTACAAAGTGATATGGAAACCCAGTTAGAAGTACCATTGTGAAAAGGTCAATCGATGGCAATCAGAAGTGACTTAATTATATTGTCCATTTGCATCTTTTGGTGCGTTCTTTCATTCGAACTGCCTTTCATCTGCTCTTCAAGTGTTCTGTTAACGCTGCACTTTCGATGTTCTGGAATTCTTCCTTTCATTAGACAATTGCTGCATATTGGATGCCATATGTCGCTATATACTACTTATAAACACTTTTGTGAGTAACGTCCACTACACTATCACTATAGTGCTATCCAGTAATCGTTTACCTTAACAAACTTTTCAATACGTCAAATATCATCTTGTAATAGATTATGAGTAAGATGATTCGAGACGTCATATCATTTGATTGAATTAAAGTATGAACAAAATTCTTGGTACTTTTTGGCTATCGGGGTTACGATGAAATTCGTTAAAATAATATTAATTTTTTACCGAGGCACTGTAGTCACCAAAAATATTCAGACTATTTTTGAAACGTAAACAAAAAATACTGAGAAAAATCGCATGCACAACAGAATACTAACTTACATGAAACGGGTGAATATTAAAAACAGGAATAAAGCGACAATAGTTACGAAAGTAAAAATATAATTAACAATACTTATGGAGTACACATGTGTCAATGGAATCTGAAAAATACAAAAAAAGTATTAATTGGAGCGATTATTCAAAATAAAAATATTTCAAGATATTAAAAGACATTTAGTTTGATAATAGAAAACCTGAACTGGAGTTAAACGGTTTCCCCTAAATTAAAAATTACAGCGATATTGCGCACTTTTCATAAACCAGTTAGAAATGTAAACGGATAATTATGAATCAAGCTACTGAAAATCAAAAACTAATCCCCAGTAATCATCTGAAACTGTTAATTCATTGTATACACATAACTTACATGTGACGATCCTAACCAGTAAACCAAAGCGATCGCGAATGTTCCACCCTGAGCTGGAAGACATTGGCATTCAAAATCAGAACCGACAACAATTGTTTTGCAATTTCCATCATTCCACAGTTCTTTAAACTCGCTAGTTGAAAGAAGAGTAGAGTAATAACTAGGTGTGAGATTTAAAACAATTATTATTATTCATTAACCTGTAGTATAATTAACAGAACTGACTCACATACTAGATCCGTTACGATGACGTCACAACGATGAACAGAAAAAACCACAAACATCAAAAATAAGTGTATGAGGCCACAAAAGCAGGACATGAAATTGTAGCAGTAACAAACTGCAATAAGTTAGTAGTTTATTGGCAAAAGTGAAAGATAACGGTAGGCAGTCTAGCAAAAATATCCTAATTAAATGCATGGCCATATGATTACAACAAAGTAATCAGTTGGAAAATAAGAATAACGAATACTACTATTTTAAAACGACAATAGTTACACGGATTTTGGGTAGTGTATGCTTATACATTTAATCAGACATTATAACATATTACTATATAAAACGGTTCAAATAATGAAGTGGCCTATTTTTCTGTATTTGAAATTAACATTAATAGCATACGGCAAATTATTAAAATTTTAAGTCATCACATTGAAGTATTAACGCAAAAAAGAGAACGTCGTTAACGGTTTTAAACAACGGTTTGAGTGGCAGAAGTCAAACAAAGTCAGCCAGTCAGCTACAACGAAGAACCAGACACACATATGCATCGGTTCAAGTTGCCACACCTCATTAGCACAACGAAATGAACACTGCTTTCGTGTACTTGTTGATGAACACCGAATACATAGAAGCAGCTAATTCAGTGGTGGTGATATATAAAATAAAGATTGCATATAAGGATATAATACATGAAGAAAGAATTAGGTAGTATAAAGGAAGATATAAAGCAATCGTAATCTCATAGTTTAAGGGAAGACAGAGAGTGTACACTTCTATGTCACTGTGATCGATTCTGAGTCATGTCACCCAGAGTCTCCAATCATTCGTTACGATAGTCACACGAACTTCAACCAAGTAGTCTGCATCTACCAGTATGGCTAAGACTAGAAGCTAGTAACTTAAAGTACTGATGCCACGTTTTGGTTTGGCCGCCCCTAATTTTCTTCCAACCATCCCCAACACTAGTCAGTATTGCGCGCCGTGATTATCGGTGACCCAACCATCGCAGTTGGTGAAGATTTACCATCATTCCCTAATACCCTGAGTCTAACCTCACTGTTACTTACCCGATGATCCCATAACCGTAAAGATGTGAGAAATATTTATAAGGCATCTGTGGTCAAATACTAGTAGCTTACGAGTATCTTCTATTCTTAATGGCCACGTTTCGCAGCCGTAAAATAGAACAGAACGAACTGACGCGCAGTATACTCGTCCCCTAATTGATAGACGGATATCTCACCTTCGCCAAACTACATACATGAACGCAACCCAAACATTCTGGCATTGTTGCTCAGTGCTACCAAAAGACTCTGCATTTTATCAGCATCGTCACCAAACAGAACTATATCATCTGCGTATTCTAAGTCGATAAGTGGACCTTCTGGTAGGAGATCAGTGCCCGAAAATCCAGTCGACGTGAATGTTATTTCCATCAGTATGTTTATGATGAAGTTGAACAAAAATGGAAATAGTGGACAGCCTTGAAGGACACCACTTGAGGTTGCAAAAGCAGATGACAGTTCGCCATAAGCTCTCACTCGATTAGTAGTGTTCGAGTAAAGAGCCTTCACAAGGTTTATGTACTTCTGGGGCACGCCTTTCAATGACAGACACTGCCACAAAATCTCGCGGTCTACGGAGTCAGATGATGCTTTTAGGTCAAGAAAGACCACTATTGTCGGACGCCGATAAGCATGTCTGTGTTCTAGAACCTGACGAATGGTGAATCTGTGGTCGATGTAGCCACGACCAGGTCTGAAGCCAGCTTGGTTCTCTCGTGTTTGCAGTTCACGAGTCTTAGTTAGGCGTCTGATAATTATCGAGGCTAGTATTTTAGATACTATATTAGTTAAACCAATCCCTCTGTGGTTGTCACAGGATGATTTTGACCCTTTCTTATATATTGGGACGATAAGTGATTGCGACCAGTTAGATGAGATAACGTCTAACTCCCAGATTTTAGCTAAAATATTAGTCAACCTAATCATTAAAATTGGACCACCATCCTTAAAGACTTCTGGAGCCAGTCCATCTGGACCAGCTGCCCTTCCTCGTTTCAGATTAACTATAGCCTTTTGAACTTCAGCAAGAGTTGGGGGACCTTCTTCAATGTTCCATTCACACTGTCTGGGAACGGAGGGTAGTTGTAGAGTAGCTGAAGGCCAGCTGAACTGTTCTCTAAAATGTTCTGTCCACCGTTCTAAACGTCTGGACTGGGAGCAGATGAGAGTATCGTCTTTTTCCGATATAATCTCACTTACACTTGACTTACTAGTTCCAGTTTCTTCTATTAGTCTGTAGAGCTGTCTTGTGTTCCCTATAGTCGCCGCCTTTTCCATCTCTTTTGCTTTCGTTGCCCACCACTGCTCTCGGTCGTTCCTCAGACTTTTGGTTAACCTAGATCTGATTTGTTTTCGATCTTCATCGTGTTCAGAGCCTGATGGGATGGGTTCACGAGAATCCATTAGTGTATTAGACCTTGAAGAAATCCATTGGCTCTTCGTGACCCTGTGGTTTATATCACTAATAGACGTCACTTCTGTTTCCACAGCTGCTTGCATATCCTTCCAAGCAACATCTGGGTCAGCCTCGTTTTCAGAACTACCTAAGTGTGACCTCAGTTGTTCTTGGAACCTACCCAAGGGACAGCTGCTTGAGGTCGGTCACACACGAACTTTTTATGAGTAGTAGTAGTTTTTAATTCAAACAAAAAGCAGAGATTATTCAAAAAAGATAATTACTCAGGATGGAAATGGATAGACAAATAAATCATAAGTATGGAATAAGTGGATTATAGTCGTAGTTAAGATAAAGAACACAAAAATAAAAAAGTGTAACGTTTCTAAATCATTTTAATGAATCATTCGTGTAGCGATAAAAATAAACTGAGATGATTAGGGGTTGAAGAATCTAGAATAAATGAAACACTACAAAACAACAAAACATGACAATCAGTAGCAAGACTAGACTTACGGATTCTGTTTTAGTTGTTCACATGATACAGTGATATTCGGTTTCTAAAAGAAAAATTAATAAGGATTCTAATCAATAAAGGTGAAAACTGTAAAATAAAGTACTTGAAAAAAATGAAGGAATCCAAAATGATGCAAGAAATCGTTAAACACTGAATTCATCTACTGTGAATTGTAAGTACCGAAGAATTATATTGCCATGATGATTAAACAAAATCAGATTTTGACAGATAAGCGCCCCAAAATGCCCAGGTATGGTCGAGGGTGGGGTGCGTCAGCTCTCACTCTCGAAATGTTACGATATGGCCAAGCATATACAGACACTGACAATGAAGACCTACTCATCGCCTTCCCACGACAGGGGTGTTGTTTATGCTAGGTTTGAAGCGATTTCGAGTTCACTTAGTCTGCCAATGGAACAAAGACGTGTGACAAAAAACCAAGAAACTAGCTATTCTGCTGCGTCCCAGCCCCGCTAACTAGAGAGAAAAGTCGAAGTCCGAACGCGGAACTATATTCCGCAAAAAGCCAGAAGCACGAGCGATAACAACAGACACAAATCAAACATACATATACAGCATAAAACTGTCCTTGGGAAACGTTACAAAATAGCATTTTAAAATACACGACGGACCAATAAGCGTTAAAGATTCTCCCAAGTAGGAAATACGACATAAAAATATAAAGAGCTCTTTTGGCGCGAAAATAAGAAAAATTTAAAATTTAAAAATAAAATTACAAAATTAAAGCATTTACTAAGTGAGTTCTAGGGATCTAACATCCCCAACAGTTTACGAAATTGAGAGGGTGAAAAGCAAATGTCCGGTGCTTTAACCGGGCTGGTAGAAACAGAGGGTCTACCTAGGTGAGTTGGAAAACCCTAATTCCAAATCCATGGCGCACATGGGCTCCAAAATCCTGAGGGAATAAATGGCGTATGATCCTATTGTTGGTCACCGGCTACCATGGAACTGCATCTCCTGACGTTGCTTCATTGCAATGTGGACTAGACCATCAAGTGAAAGGTTTAGGCGGTAGTACCCTGAGGAAATCACCTGCTTCGGTTTGGGCACCTGTGTAGTATCACAGCCCTCGCACAAACGAATGATAACTTCTACTGACCTCTTTGTTAATCTGTGGAGCACATTACGTTTATATCTGACAGAAGAAATTATATAGACATGCCATGATAGTTGTACAATTCAAATTCAGAATTCCTTTTCATCCTAAAGAGCACTCATTACAAAACCGACAAACTCATATGTGATTCAACACAGTCAAACAGAATAACTATCCTAATCCATAGAAAATGAGTCTATTTAATGACCACAAAGAAATGTTGATAATGTTACGAATAATGAAAGCAGTCATCTTATGGTGCAATGCTAATATTTGATAATATTTTCTGCATGAAAAGAAATTGTGAGAGTTTTGAAAAATGAAATTCAAAAGAACCTATTTTGTAGGTTACTCAATGAGTTGCATAAACTACAAATTTCTTATCACTATGCAGTAGACAACGACACTATTAAACCGCTAAGTTAAACGACAACCCTTTTTTAGAATCAATCACAAATATTGGACAAAAAAATTGTTTTGAAAATGCTATCTCTCAAGAAAAACATTAAAGTCCTAGTACCAATTAAAACTTTAAACGCAGGCTACTATTCAGCTAAGCGTAAGCACTCCATAATCTACAAAAACCAATAAATAATAAATATAAAAATTGGATTAAAAAAATAGATAATAAATGCTAGGACGATTATACATTATCACCTGAGATAAATCCACAGATAGAGTGAATGATAGACCGTTGTTGGTGTCGACCAATACAACATCTGAGTCTAAGGAAGGTGTTGTCACTTTTTTGATATTGTCTAGTTGTGTCAGAAGAACTCCTGGAAAGTTGGCAGCTGGGATTACGGCGATGAATGTATCATGCATTTCTGTAAATAAAACACCACCAGAAAAACAATGATAAGTGGACAGTGTTTGGAATTCCATGTTAATGAAAGAGATGGAATGTCACTATTATATAGAAGATTGACCAAACTCCGCCTGGAGTCCCTCCGGTGGCTACTGCCGGTCCCAAGCCTGGATAAAGGAGGAGGGTTGGGCATGGGGTTAGCGTCCCCATCCCGTAGAAAACTAACTCGCTAAAAAACGCTAACCAGAAAAAATTATTCAAACCTTTTAAACTCTGCCCTGGGAGTCAGAAGATCTTCATTTAGAAGAATTATGACGCCTCATGATGAAAGCCGAATCCCTTCGGAAGTTACGAGGCCGATGCCCCTTCTGACAACCAGAGCGACCATTTATTTAGGTACATGAAATGTTCGTACAATGTGGGACACCGGAAGAGCCTTCCAGATTGCTGCAGAAATGAGAAGATACAACCTAGAGGTACTTGGGATCAGTGAAACACATTGGACACAAGTTGGACAACAACGACTAACTACAGGAGAGCTCCTGTTATACTCCGGCTATGAAGAAGAAAATGCACCACATACACAAGGAGTTGCATTGATGCTGTCCAAACAAGTGCAAAATGCGCTTATAGGATGGGAATCTCATGGACCAAGGACCATCAAAGCCTCGTTTAAAACAAAGAAAGAGGGTATTTCAATGAACATCATCCAATGCTATGCGCCTACCAACGACTACAATGAAGACGCTAAAGATCAATTCTACAATAGGCTGCAGTCAATCGTCGAGAAGTGCCCAACAAAGGACCTGACCATTCTGATGGGAGATTTCAATGACGAGGTTGGAACAGACAATACTGGATATGAAGACATCATGGGACGACACGGACTGGGAGAAAGGAACGAAAATGGTGAGAGATTTGCAAACCTATGTGCCCTCAATAACCTGGTCATAGGCGGCACCATATTCCCACATAAACGCATACACAAAACCACATGGACTTCACCGGATCACTCTACACAAAACCAAATCGACCATATTTGCATCAATAAAACGTTCAGGAGGACTATAGAGGACGTGAGAACCAAGAGAGGAGCTGATATAGCATCAGATCATCACTTGGTGGTCGCCAAGATGAAATTGAAACTCAAGAAGCACTGGACAACGGGGCGGACAATATCACAAAAGTTCAATACGGCCTTTCTTCAGGATACTAACAAACTCAACAAATTCAAGATAGACCTCAGCAACAAGTTCCATGCCTTTCATGATCTACTCAATGGAGAAGGAACTACTGTGGAAAGCAACTGGAAGGGGATCAAAGAGGCAATCACTTCAACATGTCATGAGGTCCTGGGTCACAAGTGTGATAACTACAGGGGCATCACTCTTCTCTCAGTACCGGTAAAAGACTTCAACAGGGTATTGTTAAACAGGATGAAGGACTCTGTAGACGCCCGACTTCGTGACCAACAGGCAGGATTCCGTAAGGATAGATCGTGTACAGACCAAATCGCAACTCTACGGATCATTGTGGAACAATCAACTGAATGGAATTCATCATTCTACATCAACTTCATTGACTACGAAAAAGCATTTGATAGCGTGAACAGAACAACACTACGGAAACTTCTTCGACACTACGGCGTGCCTCAGAAGATAGTCAATACCATACAGAACTCATATGATGGATTACACTGCAAAATCGTGCATGGAGGACAGTTGACAAAGTCGTTCGAAATGAAGACCAGTGTCAGGCAAGGTTGCTTACTTTCACCCTTTCTCTTTCTCCTGGTGATCGACTGGATCATGAAGACGTCAACATCTGGGGGAAGCTTGTGATACAATGGACATCTAGGATGCAGCTGGACGATCTAGACTTCACAGATGACCTGGCTGCTCTATCGCACACGCAACAACAAATGCAAGAAAAGACGAACAGTGTGGCAGCAGCCTCAGCAGCAGTAGGTCTCAATATACACAAAGAGAAAAGCAAGATTCTCCGATACAACACAGCATGCACCAATCCAGTCACACTTGACGGAGAAGATTTGGAAGATGTAAAATTTTTTACATATTTGGGTAGCATCATTGATGAACAGGGTGGATCTGGTGCAGATGTGAAAGTGCGGATCGGTAAAGCAAGAGCAGCATATTTACATCTGAAAAACATCTGGAACTCAAAGCAACTGTCAACCAACACCAAGGTCAGGATTTTCAATACAAATGTCAAGACAGTTATACTGTATGGGGCAGAAACCTGGAGAACTACGGAAGCCATCATCCAGAAGATGCAGGTGTTTGTTAATAATTGTCTACGCAAAATACTTCAGATCCATTGGCCGGACACTATTAGCAACAACGTACTGTGGGAGAGAAGCCAAATCCCAGCGGAGGAAGAAATCAGGAAGAAGCGTTGGAAGTGGATAGGACACACATTGAGGAAAGCACCCAACTGCGTCCCAAGACAAGCCCTCACACGGAATCCTCATGTACGGAGGAGAAGAGGGAGACCAAAGAACACATTACGCCGAGAAATGGAGACAGAAATGAGAAAAATGAACAAAAATTGGATAGAACTCGAAAGGGAGGTCGAGGACAGAATGGGTTGGAGAATGCTGGTCGGCGGCCTATGTCCCTTTGGGATTAACAGGTGTAAGTAAGTAATGTATCATGTATATCATGAATGATTAAAAAACATGGGAAAAAGTACTCCACATAACCAGTAAAACTTCCACACTCTTGGCCCTAATTTTCAGGTAAAACAATGAAATAAATGACCATATTGGGAAATATTGATTCAGAAAAAATAGTGAACACTTTTTAGATCAGTAAATTAGACTCGTGAGGGCAAATCACTCGTTGACCGACTTAAAATGTCGACATAAAACCTTATATTAACTTGAAACTACCCGTAAAAAATAAACATTGGCTGGACTGGGCATCTCGGTGGAGAACGCATTCACGTTTAAAGCAACAGGTACCGAATTTGAGTCTCAATGTGAACATCGAGACCGAGTTTCAGGTACCTCCAGATGGTAAGTTTCACACGGGAAAGAAACGGGGGTGCTGTATTCTACTACTACCCACAATCTATTTATTCTATAAAACTTGTGACAAATGGCTTTACGGGCGGAATTCTCAAGGCATAAATATGTCAATGAATAATCGTGAATATCAACAATAATCTAAACAGTTTCAATTAGTAACTTATAAATCCTGAGTACTTATAATAAGTACTATATTAGTCCACTGGAATAAAAAGTTTTAATTTTATTAGTAGAATATATCAAGGTACATGCAATGCATTAAATTGTGTAGCAAGCAAGAATTTCTGGTTCATAAAACAGAAAAATATAGACCGTACGCTAAGTGGTTGAAGGTTATGATCTTAAAGAACAACAAGATTCAACTGTTACGTAGAAAAGAACGGCATGAAAGTAAGTTATTCTTAACTCGTAAATATAGTCACAAAAAGTTAGAATGGTTAAAGTGATTTCTATGATCTATGATCTAACCTGATTGCTTTGGTTTAATGGAAAACTTGATCACCTTCCCTTGCGAACTATTCATTGTTATATTGCCTGTATCTGAAGATAAATGCTGAAAAAATAATACACAAATAACATAAATTAAGACTGCGAACTCTCAGGATAAAAAAAGCACGAAATCCAACATTCACACCATTAAAACAGAAATACTGATTCAAGTGTAAATAAAATGATCGTAAGTTCTAACACAGCCTTAGTAATATACTGTAAAGTTGAATGCGTATCAACGAAAAATAAACAACATATAAACAAATAACAAGTGAACCCAACTGACGAGACACTTAGGTAGGTTTTATAAATAAAGGAAATACTTCACTCACCTAACAGAATTATGCAGTGACTTAAATCTATGAATAAAATTGGACTAAAATCAGATGAAAGCAAAGTTTCAGGGAAAATAAGAAAATCGATTATCTAAAATTGCTTTATTCCTTGTAAATGTATAAGATTACTAATAAGATCAAACTGTAACTTCAGCATACTGAAATTAGTTCAACTTAATGCTAACTAATCGACTGGCAGTCAGAAATGTTTTATAACTGCAGATCAACCTACAGTACATAATAAAGCTAAATTTTGCAGCAAGACAAAACTTTATCAACAAGCTTGTGAAGATTATTTAATTTAAACAGTTTTTAATACACCGTAACATCAGAACTGATGATAATTGAACATTTGTTTCGTTCTACCATGACACTTTTCAGTGAAACCCAATTAGAACACTAGCGTGGATCTAATACATGACTCTCGCATTTCACCGCAAGTACGAGACAAAGAAAAAAGTGAGTCACGATCAAAAGCAGAACATCGCCTGGGGTATCGCTCCCGCTACATGACCTGAAATTTCTACACTTGATCTCTGACGGGGTTCTGTTTAGGTTATGATGAGGAGTCGCATATAAAGACTGGACAGCTACCCAGGGCTGTCTGATTTATATTGGTTCTTTCGTCAGTTTTAGCTTGAGATGAATATTAATTGCAAAAAATTGATTAATCAAGATTTAAAGTATGTATTGAAGATATTCTACTCAATTTTTAATGAAGATTTTATTTACGTTCGTTAACGTCAAAAGCGTATTCAAAGTTAGACGCCTAGCCTGTTCAGTCAAAAGTGCTCAAATGTATAGATTTCGGATTGTCACACAACGGTTTCCCATCAATTTTGTATTCAGTGGCGACTAAAGCGTGTATTCTCTTACAAATTAATTGAAACTTGATCTAAGATACAGCACATTTAGCTGAATATCATTTGATGCTTTCCACCTAAAGGAACAAGACTCGCTGTCTATAAATCTATTTTAACCAATTGAGATATACAAGCCTGTTTATACAAGTTAATTTTACACTATCCCTGACAACTGCAGACATGGTTACATGATATGTTAGTAAAAATGAACCGTAACACTCGGCTTAAGATGAGCCAAACTAGTAGATAACTTTAACTTGAAATATGATTATATAAACAAACAGTGCCACAAAAACGTCTACTGACACACTTATACCGTAAATAGTAAAAAGTGTCCATGAAAAAGCAATCAGTTTAGGGTTTTCATCATGAACGTTTCTTAACTGTGTGATTCCCAATGTACGAGTAAACACTACAACGATGAGAATCGTAAATGTTAAGTCAATGTACACTAATGGCCAAACTGATCATTCATAAAACTGTACAGTATTCTTTTACAAATTCCCACCATCAAATGATAAGACGGCCAACCAGATCGGAAACACTTACCCAAAACCGTAAACTCTTTTCAGTTTCTTTGCCGGATCTTAATAAATCGATAACAGAGGGGGTTTGGCGGGCGATCTCCGCGATTAAATGGAGAAATACGGAGACTGTTTGCAGTTTTTTGGAAGCTGAAGTCGACAGAAATTCTGAATTCGCAGTAGAGATTGTAGACCGATTATAACCGGATGCAACAATGGTTGGAGACATATCTAATGCAAACCTCATGCTGTCAAGTAACTGACTGGCAATTGAACGACGTTCAGAACTGAAATAAATTTAAAGAATTTAGGAGTAAAAATGATCTAGGTTTAGACTCAGGAAATCTTATTAGGAAACTTTGCAATCTGATACAAATACACTGAGTGAACGCTAGTTATTACTCTACCCTCCTTCAACTAGCGAGTTTAAAGAACTGTGGAATGATGGAAATTGCAAAACAATTGTTGTCGGTTCTGATTTTGAATGCCAATGTCTTCCAGCTCAGGGTGGAACATTCGCGATCGCTTTGGTTTACTGGTTAGGATCGTCACATGTAAGTTATGTGTATACAATGAATTAACAGTTTCAGATGATTACTGGGGATTAGTTTTTGATTTTCAGTAGCTTGATTCATAATTATCCGTTTACATTTCTAACTGGTTTATGAAAAGTGCGCAATATCGCTGTAATTTTTAATTTAGGGGAAACCGTTTAACTCCAGTTCAGGTTTTCTATTATCAAACTAAATGTCTTTTAATATCTTGAAATATTTTTATTTTGAATAATCGCTCCAATTAATACTTTTTTTGTATTTTTCAGATTCCATTGACACATGTGTACTCCATAAGTATTGTTAATTATATTTTTACTTTCGTAACTATTGTCGCTTTATTCCTGTTTTTAATATTCACCCGTTTCATGTAAGTTAGTATTCTGTTGTGCATGCGATTTTTCTCAGTATTTTTTGTTTACGTTTCAAAAATAGTCTGAATATTTTTGGTGACTACAGTGCCTCGGTAAAAAATTAATATTATTTTAACGAATTTCATCGTAACCCCGATAGCCAAAAAGTACCAAGAATTTTGTTCATACTTTAATTCAATCAAATGATATGACGTCTCGAATCATCTTACTCATAATCTATTACAAGATGATATTTGACGTATTGAAAAGTTTGTTAAGGTAAACGATTACTGGATAGCACTATAGTGATAGTGTAGTGGACGTTACTCACAAAAGTGTTTATAAGTAGTATATAGCGACATATGGCATCCAATATGCAGCAATTGTCTAATGAAAGGAAGAATTCCAGAACATCGAAAGTGCAGCGTTAACAGAACACTTGAAGAGCAGATGAAAGGCAGTTCGAATGAAAGAACGCACCAAAAGATGCAAATGGACAATATAATTAAGTCACTTCTGATTGCCATCGATTGACCTTTTCACAATGGTACTTCTAACTGGGTTTCCATATCACTTTGTAACTTCTCACAATGAACATACCTTCCTCCTGCCTACTATCCTCTTACAGTAAAATCACCCCGTATTATATTTTTGTAAGACTAGGTTTTCTTGAACCTCAAAAGCCAGTGTAGTTCAATAGATTTTTGGAACCTCCCTAAAACCTATAAGTCTGTGAAATATTTAACCGCATCAACCAATTTGCCATCTCTATCCAGTACTCTGCGTCTAAACCCAGCTTTGCTCACTAGATGATCCCAACATACGCGTACAATGTTCCAAAGATATCTATGTTCAATGAGTATTGACGTGAGAATTTCCCTCTATATTTTCAAAGGTTACGTTTCATATACATAAAGTAGAACAGAACGAACTACTGAGGAGTATAGTGTTCCTTAGGTCGGTGGACAGACATCTCGCTAGCGTCACAAGTGATGCAAGTTAGCAAAAGCTAACCGAACTGTCTGAAATGTGTCGAGATTTTTTCAGACACCAACCCACCAGGTTTGGTTCAACTTTCATAATAAGTGAAGTAATCGACGCGCTCAACTACTTTACTCACTATCATCAGTTCAGGCGTTGATACAAACTAACCCTGAAGTAACATTTTGCATTGATGCCAGTTTGGTACCCCTTGATTTGTTTTTTTCAAACGACAGATAGTCGTCGCACGGTTATACAGGCTGGTATTGATCAAACTGATTACTCTACGGTTATCAAGAAAGAATTTTGGTCTCTGCTAATAAAGTGGTACGATCAGCAATCGAGATTAGTCAGATGGGATCCCTTTCTGATCCTAGTTACTACTGTTACTTATCTACGATGCCTTTGCATTTTTGCATTAGCTGCCCACAACTGTAGGCGAACATTGAGTAAATTTTATTTTAGTCTATGTCCGTGCTACCGTCACTTGGAAGAGTGAGAGAGTTAAAATTTATTTATTAATAACACAGTTCATAAACACCTTAAAATATGCGTGTGACTTACACACTGTTGCGAGCAAGCTGTTGTCTGATCTCATCGTCAGTGAATTTAGAAGTGAAATTCAAAATATAATCTGGATTTATGCGATACAGAGTTTTGGCGTTGTAGGAAACACTATGCAGAGTCCGTCCGTAATCCTAAGTGAAAAGAGTCATTTGAATAATAACTGAATTGGAAAGGAACATGAGTAGTGGAAATAACCTACATGTGGATAAGAAGTGGGGTTAAAACTCATACTCAATTGATACAATCTTTAAAATTTGCCATTAAGTACAACAGTGTAAAACATATAACGATTTCAAAATTGACGGTCAGTAAAATTCAAACTTTTACAAACATTATTTTAGAATACGAAATCGATGTTTTATATCAAGCCGAATAGGCAGCTTCTACGAAACAGATGAATTCATATTTCATTGACCATAATAATCTTAAAGATAGAGTTTTATCTTATACGAGTCTGCTCGCTGGACAGGTAAAATATTGGTAACTTGTTTGTGATGCTACATCCCCAGAAATCACTTGGTAAACGTCTCATTTATATAATTTTATTATTTATTTCAATATGCTATTTCGTGACATTTTCCCGAGGACATTTTTGTACTGTCAGAAAATCTCATTTTTCTATTATTGTGCTGTATATATACTCATGAGTTGTGCTTTTCCGTTCATGTTTCCGGACTGCTTGTGGAATATATATTTTTCTCGGCTGGATCTGGTTTTCTTCATCTCGTTAGCAGGGCTGAGGAGCAGTGGAATAACTAATCTAGCCTTGAAGTTATGTTGCTTTCATTACGTTCGCCGGTCTTAGGTGATATTGTGATCTCGCCAAAACGTATAAGTGGCGAAGAGGCTGATGCAAGTATGGATCCTACAAAAGTGGAATGATTGATGGAGCAGCATTTTATACTTATCCAGATGTTGACAGATAGGAAAATTACGCCTACCCCTCAACCTAGCACATCTATTTCCACCACTGCATTGTCAACTAACAGCACCACCAAAAGTATAACCGAATTTCACTACGATCGCGATGCTAATGTTACTTTTGACATGTGGTTCCGGCTTGATAAGGATCTATTTAAATTTGACTTTACATCTGAACCCACACGTCCGCTCATTTACTGACACTGTCCAATTATTAAGCCAACAGTTTGGAGATAACTCCTCACTACCCAATGCATGTTATCGATGTTTGAAGCTGATTATGAACGAAGATGCTGACCTTTTTTATCATGTGGGCAAAGCGAACGCTTTCTGATGAAGTCGTTGACTGAACATCAGTTGAAAGCCCTCATCCTCATCCGCAGTCTTCAATTGGCAAAGTTTAGTTACATTAGAACGCCGTTACTATGTAGGTTGTACAAGCCTGTCCGTTTAAAAAACATCGTTGTAGGAAATGAAAATCTATTGGTCACAAAGATGGATTCTGTCAAAGGAGGAAAACGATCGACCACCACATCTTTCCAGAAGCATTAGAAAGCCTGGTTCCAAATCGTGTACAGATTCGTCGAGCCTATTAACGTCCTATCACAAACCCAGGGGAGAGGAAATTCATTACTCTTGATATTACTGGGCATTCTCATCTATATTGCAAATAGGTACAGCATCAGACATAACCATTATCTCGTGGAAATTTTCTCCCGTTGTTGTGTCGCTGACTTCCGTTCTATTCGCCGGTCCTAGGTGATATCGTAATCTCTTCAAATGTAGCATGACTACGAATTTCAGATGAAATAAGATGGATGTATTTGAACAAGTCATTGAATGTTTCACAAATGTGTTCGTGTACCGAGTGTTGAAACCTGCAACCCAGTCTACAATACAGCCAATTGTAAGGCTAAATTTTAATAGAATGAAGGCTTCAATTGTTCTCAATTCAATCAGCTATTCAAACTTTTTATGCCATTACGGCTATCATACCTCTAAATGATAATGAAAACGGAAAAATCGGGAAAGAGTTGTCGATTTCATATGAAGTAATTCTCAATACGACATTAGTGTCAGAAAATTATGACTCGATGGCTTATTTGCACAGGCATTAGGGTTAGAAAACCCTTAAGTCAAAAACTGGCTGTAATTTTCTGTTATACATCGATAACTTTGTCTGCGTCAAGAAATTTGTAGCCAGTGAGTCTTTTTTATAAGGGAGTAAGTGAGTAAAGTCATATGCTAAATGAAAGAACGCCAACACTTGTTAATTTAATTTTTCTTTATTTAAGAACCATGCTGATACTGAAAACAAACTTACGGCTATTTCAGGGGAATTTCCGGAGACATGTGGACAAGACCAATTTAAATCTGAAAAATAGTGGGGGAAAATGAGAACGCTAGAGCCTCAACTGTAACTAAAATAAACTACAATCTTTAGTGGATACTTTGTAGATATAACACAGAATAAAAATTGTGAACAGCTATTAATGAAGCGGTAAAAATGAATGTTTTGTACAGATATTTGATACTAGCAGAGAATAAAATTAACGAAGAGTGGAAACGATACTGCACTCATTTTATTTTATTTTTATGAAAGCCCAATTGGTCACGTAAGAGATTAGTAAATATGTGAATAATTAGTGTTCTCTACATTGATATTTTTCATAACATAATTTCTTTAATGAACAAGTAGCTTCAGCTTATTAACCTTGAGTAAAATAGAAGAGACTACAAAGAGATCGTGTTAAACCATTCGAAACTAGATGTGATTAAAATAAAAATTCACAACATATAAGTATAGTTTTAACATTTTAGTATTTTATCTACTCATAGTACATGAATTATGGTAAAATGAACGCCAAAAATAGTGCCACACAAATGAAGGGATAATAATGTGAAGAGATAAGAGAAAAGTATAGTAGAACCAATAAATAAGTGGACAAGAATACTACTTATCAAGAGTTAAAGTCGAGTTAAAATATATTTTCAAGAAAGTTTTTTTTAGTTTAGAGGGTGCACCTTACTTTGACAAAAAATGTGATGAAAAGCAATAGACTGATCACTATTAGATTCAACTTTGAGCCATATTTAACAACACTATAAGCCACATGCTTCGGAGCACTCAGGTTTCATAGACAAAGCGAAACTGTGTTGCAAGCTTCCCAGTTAGACTGGTATCCTGACGGCATGAAAAGTAGCCTAAGTTGATCGGAGTGATGAAAGAAATTTAGATAGACACTCGGAATTCATCAAACGAATGAGCGCGTGATTTATCTATGGTGATGACGTTTATCTTCGTTTGATATTACTTCTATGTTACGAGAATTCCAACCCTTGAATGTTTTATTTAAGCAAAATTTGTTTGAAAATACCTTTTGGATGGGAATCGGGAAGTTTTCTGTCCCAAACTAGCCCAGATGGTTTGAGACTATAGTATCATAGAACAGTGAAATAGAGTCTTTCTTCCTATGAAATTTGAGCGAATATGTATGTAATACTAATAGCTTTGTGTATATAACCTCGGAAAATAGAAGGATGCATATTTGTTTTATATTCCCATTAAATTTTATCTTGTATAAATGATATTTGATAAAAAGCTGAAACAGCGACGGAACTTACCTTTAGCCAAATACTCACAGGAATCTATTAGTGGAACTCCTTTCTTACACCGATAAGAGTTATTCACTACGTAGCAATCATGGATCCCGGCATCACACAGCATGTAGCCTTGATTAGCAGCCTCAATGCACATATCTGACCCACACATTTTTTCACCCATGAACCGATAAGAGACCTGGAAAATATATGAACACTGAAATCACTAAGTCAGTTTTATTTTCTTAAACAAAATTTACTTCTGATAATCTAAAGTGTAATATCTTGGCTACCTGTATATTTCAACAAGTTATCTGTTTTCTTGTTTGTTTTAACACATCATTATGCCCATTAGTCGCATAACCGATTCAGGAGCGTTTGCGACAAGTTTACGACATTTCACCGTACAAGTTACAAAAGAGCCCAATCAGAAACATCGTGACTGCTGGCAATATGCATCGAAAAAATTGTATGTTATTCAAATGTCGATTCCCGAACTGCTAACACCCAACTGGCGACCACTCAATATTTGTCTCAAGGATCGATCATGAAATAAGAAAAAAACTTGTTGAAATACTTTATGCTGAGAATTCTATATTGTACCAGAAATATAATATTGAACAAAGCCAATAATAATAATTATAACCCAGTAAGATCTGTCATTCTTCCACGTTTCAAGATAGTGACACCCTACATTTATTTGCGTGCGAGTAAAAGATTTGTTATAAGTGTTACGCACAAAATGCGTCTGTAAAATTAGAATCTGGGAACTAACTGTAAGTCACTTAGACTGTATTACGAAGCACTTCCCGTCGTTTTAACTATATTTTCACAAGCCTTAGCTGCAGTTTAACAATAGTAGAATAGACAATGAGGTGGAGAATGCTGACAAAAACATTTTGCGCTAAGGACTGTGACTTTTGAGCCATACATTGTGCATAAGGTTAGTGCTTACCCAAAAATATGAATTCCAGAAGAAAGCCGAAACATCTAGAAATGATTATCGGCTCTTATAGTCTAAAAAACGAAATTACTAAATACTTGTATTTCTGTCTAACATTCTTCACATCGGTATCAATATCGTATGTTACAATGACCATACACCTTGACATGTGACTAGACCAAATTCGATAAAAATTCCATTTCACGTTAGTCTAACTAAAGTAGATGGATACGTGAATTGAAATGGTGGAGCAGTGGATTAGTAATTAAGGCACTGAACTTACAGCCACTAAGTCTCAGATCCGAACTCCGATCCACCTACTTCAGTCTGGGCAGGAGGGAAGTATTATTATTCCTCCTAATTCAAGTGAAGCTCACACACAAACACCTGTTGAATGAGTTGATTTAAAATGTCAAAATGATGAGCATAATGAAATATATGACAGTCATTTTGAATTCCAACGGAAAACTTCACAACCACATGTTAACCGAGGTGCAGACGACAAATGTGTTTCCTGTTATCAAACACAGTACTGAGATGTGTATGCAAAACTATAAGAGGTACCTAGAAGGCCCCTGAATGTTTAAAGTGTGTGTTGTTAATTTCCAATAACGACTTTATGAGATCAGACGATTATTCATAATTCGGCCTTTCAAAATTAAATCGCATTCTAAAAACGTGGATTATAGATGCTGACATCCAACTCCCAAAATGACTGACACAGATATATTATTTATAACACTTAAGAACTAGTGATAAATGTGCATGAATTCAAAAGATTTTTCTCCGTACTAATACTTCAGGAACCTTAAGACAGGTTGTGGTTTATTTAACCTGCTACAACGTAAGTTAGGATGAGCTGTCTAGATAAACAACTAATCAGTAGTACCCACTGCATCTCATAGGCATATGAATAGTTGCTAAGTTTTCTTTAATTGAAAACACGATTGGTGTTCACCAAATTCTTCATTTCTATTCGCTCGACCTAAATAATAACGCAAGGTGGAGCAAACATAATAATCGGAAAACATTTATTATGAAAAGAAAATATATTAAATTGAACGAAGTAGAATGAAAAGTAACTTACTGAATCCGGATACACCCAGTTACTTATGTCTAAAAAGAGAAGGAAGTACTAATCAGGGGCTAATTTGCAATTGAGGTAGAAACAAATATATTCATTTAGACCCGTCACACGCATTAAAGTCGATAAAACAGACAATTGTGATAACCAAAGTCAGTCAGTCAGCTACAACGAAGAACCAGACACACATATGCATCGGTTCAAGTTGCCACACCTCATTAGCACAACGAGATGAACACCGAATTCACAGAAGTAGTTAATTCAATGGTGGTGATATATAAAATAAAGATTGCATATAAGGATATAATACATGAAGAAAGAATTAGGTAGTATAAAGGAAGATATAAAGCAATCGTAATCTCATAGTTTAAGGGAAGACAGAGAGTGTACACTTCTACGTCACTGTGATCGATTCTGAGTCATGTCACCCAGAGTCTCCAATCATTCGTTACGATAGTCACACGAACTTCAACCAAGTAGTCTGCATCTACCAGTATGGCTAAGACTAGAAGCTAGTAACTTAAAGTACTGATGCCACGTTTTGGTTTGGCCGCCCCTAATTTTCTTCCAACCATCCCCAACACTAGTCAGTATTGCGCGCCGTGATTATCGGTGACCCAACCATCGCAGTTGGTGAAGATTTACCATCATTCCCTAATACCCTGAGTCTAACCTCACTGTTACTTACCCGATGATCCCATAACCGTAAATAGAAAAGCTATAACCAAACTTGAAACAGGCCGCAAACGCTTCTGTACGAAAATACGTGAAAATATCAATGAAAGCTTTGCTGACATGAAATTATGGATTACATTAAACTGAAATACAGTAGAAGTGGACATAAAAATTATATGCCGTTCGATAAATAAAGTGATATTTTACTGCAGTATTTGCGATAGCAATAACAAAAAATGTTACATATGGAAGGTATGATGAACATTAATCAACATAGGCAAAAACATACTTGAGAAAATAACTGATACAACGTAATAGGTCCCATTGATTTTCGCGAAACATCTGTTCAACAGTAAACAGTTCATAAATTATATAACGGACGGAAATTTAAAATAAATAAATTAAAATCCAATACCTGAAACATAAGTTATTACCTTTACGATACATAATAACAAATAATTCATATATCTATTAAGCGACGACTAAAATTTTCATGATTGAAACGGTAAGATATTCACAGAATAGCAGCAGCGTTAACTAAAAACGAACTCATGCTTAGAACCTTACATATATCAGACAAGTAAAACTAGAATAACTAATAGGTTTAATCAGATAAAAAGAACTGATAGGTCTGATTTGTATGAGTAAAGGTACTAAACAGATTGATGGAATAACTAATTAGTGAAAGGGTATTCAATAATGAATAGATCATGTAGAATATAATACGTTTTTTTCTGGTGTCATTCCGAAAATCAACTATTTGTTCCTATGCACAAAGACGCCTAGACAAGGTAGCAATACACTAAAGGCAACTAGCCCCCAAATGCCCTGGTATGACAGAGAGCGGGGTAAGCCCGCCCTCCCTCTCTAAATACTATCACACAGCCACGCATATACAGCCTCTGCCAGGGAAGTTCTACTCACTGCCTTCTCGTGACAGGGGTGTTGTTTACGAAAATGAGAGGACGAAAAGCGAATATCCGGCGCTTTAACCGGATCCCAAACCAAAGGTGCACATGGGCTCCAGTATCCTGAGGGAACAAATGGCGTATGAACCAATCGTTGGTCACCGGCTACCATGGGACTGCGTCTCCTCACGATGCTCCACTGCCTTGAGGGTCAGATCTTAAGGTAAAAGGCCCGGGGTATGGCCCCCTAAGAAAACCACTTGCTTCAGTCTGGGCACCCGGGCAGTATCGCAGCCCACACACAAAAACAGGATAAACTATCTACTTATGAAAAATATACCTCTCGCTTCAAATAACAATCAAGTGACCCTCAATGTTATTACTATGATTATTATTATTATTACTATTATTATTATTATTATTTACTACGTCATTATTCACCCTCTTTTATTCCTACTCTGTCTATACTTATTTTTTCCGACTTATACAGCAGCTCGCCCATGGTGGAAATTCGACTGAATCTAAACGTTTTCGAGTCACTGACGGGTTGAAAATTGTATGCTACCACCGAATATGAGTACTGAAGCAGTTTTTATGAAACCACGTGCACCATTCAAACTGGCTGCCTTCAACGTTCGCACACTTATGCAGGTTGGACAACAGATAGGGTTGGCTATGTCTTTGGAAAGTCTTCATATCGATGTTTGCTGTCTATCCGAGACCCCTACTCAAGACTCTGGTGAAGTACTACAAATTCGCACTACATCTGTCACTTCAAACAGCTTGTTTTACGTGCGTTTATCCGGGGACCCTGTGGCATCGTCGTCCAGTTTTGCTGGCGTTAATGTCGCACTGAGCGCTAGAGCTGAGGCAGCACTAATCGACTGGATCCCCATTAACAGTCGGTTATGTGCTGTTAGATTAGAAAGTTCCACGAAAGTGAGAAATCGGCGTGAGAAACGAGACGCTGGCAGCAAGAAGTCTGGTGTGAGTGAAACAATCCCTGAGGATGATGGAATGCCAATCACTGACATCCAACGACGTCTTGGACGATGGGCAGAATTCTTCGAAGCGCAGTTCAAGTGGTCTACTGCTCCGGCAACATCGGTCGGACTGTCCTGCCCTCCATGGCCGGTGACGACTGATCCACCAAATGAGGCGGAAGTTCTCAAGGAACTCTTGAAGCGCTACAAATCACCGGGCCCAGATGACTTACCTCCGGTCCTTTTTAAAGATGGTAGTGACTTTCTGGCTAAGGAACTGACGACGTTGTTTACAAAGGTCTGGGAGCTAGAGAGTGTACCAACGTCATGGAATGAGTCGATAGTTGTCCCTATCTTTAGGAAGGGTTCACGTCGTTCCTGTAACAACAATCGGGGGATAAGTCTACTTCCGATTGCATCCAAGCTATTGGCTTCCTTCATACTTCGTAGGTTGGTCAAAACCCGAGAAAGATTGGCTCGCGAGGAGCAGGCTGATTTCCGTTCCGGTCGAGGATGTATTGATCACACCTTCACCCTCCACCAAATGTTAGAACACCTTCATACTTATCAAAGGCCAACAATCGTAGTGTTTCTTGACATCAGGGCTGCCTTAGATTCGTTGGATAGGACTGTTCTCTGGGATGGTGTGTTCGAGCGCAAAGACGATAATTCGATTGGTGTCACCATCTTGAAACACCGACTTTGGTGGCTTGGACATGTTCTACGAATGTCGTCCCAGAGAATTCCACGTCGTGCATCATTTGCCGACTCTGGGACTGGTTGGAAAAAGTGGAGAGGTGGTCAGTGTATGACATGGTGTCGTGGTATGAAAGAAAGATGTACAAGACTGGCTACTGTTAGTCCTTCACGACTCCCTGGTTGGGGTCCTAGAGATGGTGCAACACAGTGGCTAGAGACGTTATCAGATATGGCTCAGAATAGAAGTCAGTGGAGATCCTGTTGGAACCTTCTTTAACTTTCTTCATAAAAAATGGTTGTTTCTTCCTTAACTGAAAGATTTCTTCTGATTGTACCCTTCCGTTCCCCTACTAATACTAGTATTATTACACCAACATCTTCGTTATTGTTTTTTTTATATCTTTTCTTACGTTCCCCACTTTTTTCTGTTTCTTCTTCTTAAATTCTTATTGTTTTGTGTGACGCTCCTTACCTCTCTTTTTGCTCTTCCCATTCTCATTGTTTTTTGTGGCGCATATATATTTGGCGCACTCCTGTACCAATATATATGTGTTCAAATAAATAAATAAATAGAACAAATTGTAACATCAGTACATAAAGCCACTACTATTGATAGACTTAATTAGATCACATTGCCATTATTCATCATTGGAGAAGCTCGTTTAAAGAATAACGCTTATTCTGGAGCACATATTTAGACTCAGATAACACACTAGTTCAAACATGTATTTGTCTGCGTCTTACTAAATGAAGAAAAGCCACAGCAAGAAAACAAATTATAGTACAATTTAGAATAAAAATTAAAAATATATAACATGAACAACTATAGAACGAGTTATCAACCATGAAAGTGATAACCGAAGTAGTTTGGCATGATATTCAAACAGTAGAAACAGTAGCGGTATTACTTGTAACCTAATCGAAAAGGTTGGGAAAAATTAATGGATTTTCGTTTCTTCTACAGAACTCAACCCGTTTAGCATCAAAACAGACAAAGAGAGAAGCAGCTTAAACGTAGAAGGATAGAAATTAATTGTAATACACGTGAGCAGAAGTGGGTGGCAATAACAGAAAAGGACATGGCAGCAGCGAAAGGTAACAGCAGACAAGAACTCAAGCTTATTAAGTAAACAGGTATAAAACTCCGCCAGCAAGACAGCTAGTCACAATGTAAAACTTGTACTTATGTACATCAGTCCAAGTTGCCATACCCCATCGGCACAGAGAGATGATGTCAGGCCAAATCTCAGAGTTGTAGAGGTAGTAACAGTGTGAATGGTGACTGCAAAGAGTAGGTATCGAAAATAAAGTTCAAGAAAACATAAATTAGTTTGATAACTACAGAAAAGAGAAATTATGAGGGATTCAGAAGCTCAGAATTTGGGGGAAGACAAATGGCTCAGTCCAGTCGTCGATGTCTTCATGAATTGGTGCGGTGTTTTTGGTTTGTCCGTCCCTAGCTTTCCTCCAGTGTACTCTCACACCGTACAAAATCGCCCGTCGAGGTAGGTTGTGGTTGTGCATACGTGACACGTCCCAACAAGTGAGTCTCCTGGTAGAAGATCAACTCCTGAAAAGTCAGACAATGAGCACTGTCTCTAAAAGCATGCCTATAACTAATTTAAATACAAATGGAGAAAGCGCACAATCCTGAAGACTGTCACTCGAAGTAATTAATTCCAATGACCGAAAACATTAGTTTTGCTCTCCAACTAATTCATTTTGGGCCACTCGATATAACACAACACGATACATTCCAAAGGCAAATGCCAGAACAAAGATACAAGTCTATAAACACGATTATTCACGCGTGTTACGCAGAAGACTGGCAAATGGCGTCGTTTATTAGTGCTGACTAATTGAAAATGGATTAGTCAGGATGTTTGATCATTCTTGCATCGAAATCTCAAGAGGAGTCCATACTTTTTACACAAATAGAAGTGATTAAGCATGTGCAGTAAGATCGCGTTTATTATTTGATGTAAATTTAAACCGGAAAAATTGATTTTTGGATTGCTGTCTCTTTTAGCATTAATTGTGTTTCTCAACATATAATCTATTATAGTTGACCCTTACATTGTAGGTTGCAGAGTCAGATTAATTTGATTTTATTGGTTAGGTCGAATAATAGTTTAGACAATCAGCTATACTATGGGAAGGATTCTTCAGTCTATCACAACATTGGGCCATTGTTTTAATGTTCTTCTACATTTTAGCGAAAGCAAACAAAGAATTGTAAACAATTCGTTCGGTTATTACGGCAACATAAGTAGTGTACGAATTGTATGTACTCGTTTTGCTTGTCTTCAACTTGTTTTTATAAATTTGAATTAAAACGCAATACGTCCTGGGGGATTAAGAAGCAAACATAAATAAAAAAGACTCATTAGGATAACTTGTTAAGTTGAAGATAAGCATCTTAGTCTACATCTTGCTGTTTATACTTAAGGCGCTAATGTTTTGAACAATAAAATGGCAGATCTATACAGTATTACAAAAATGTCACTTCTAATTCTTCCTTATCTGATAATCTGCTTTGCGTTGTCACTATACTATGGATTAATATCAGTTCATTTCCTATAGGTTTCCATACCAAACGACCATCCTTCTGAAATACCTTAAGGAACTATATGTATGGACGTTGAAGTATTTATATAGATAGAAATCGTTATTTAGTAATCCTTAATTAATCAGTCACTGACTGACTGTTCAATAGATTTCGTAACCAGCAGTATTAGAAGTTAACGCTGCAGTTTCATAGTAAAATATATGGGACTGGAAATTCGTCTATTTCTGTAGTGTGCGTTCCACCAAATCAAAACATGGCATCAATTCATCAAGTCATCGATGATTGGATGTTAATTGATGCATAGACTACCTGGTTGGGATCCGCGTGATTATCGTAGCCAATGGTTGAATACTTTAGATGGCATGACTCAAAACCGTTCGCAATGGTACAGGTGCACGTGTTTTTTCTTTTCCCCCAAATTCTGGGATTCTAAGTTCTTCATAACGTTTTTTTGTTTTTATTTTTCTAATTTATATTCCATTTTCGAGTCATAACTTAGGAGCCTAATCTCTCTTATTACCTCTGATATTGTTACTAACTCTACTATTCTGACATTGGCTTGACAACTTCATCACTCTATGCTAATGGGGTATGGCAACTTAAACTGATGTACATAAGTACGAATTGTACATTGTGACTGACTGACAGTTTGTCATCTCTGGGTCATTTATGATATCAGTCTTGTTGTAAAACACCAGGTTTACAAAATGTCGGTGAGAGCAGCTCTGCTCTATGTCTATGAAAAACTGACTTATTAGAGCAGATATGTGGTGACTACATACATCTACTGGCAACACCATGATGATAATGCTCAATTATACTATAACTTAAGTAATAAAGAACAAATAACACATGTGCCAATAGATGCAAAGACTACCTGGTTGGGTTCCGCGTGATTATCGTTGCCAATGGTTGAATACTTTAGATGGCATGACTCAAAACCGCTTGCAATGGTACAGGTGGATGTGTTTTTTGTTTTCCACCAAATGGGAATAAAAATAGTCTATTTCTTTAGTGTGCACAATGCATTTCACCCCTACCCTTCGTTTAGCTAGGAATTAATTGAATAAGTATATCCAATGTAACTAAAGTGCTAACGTTTTTTATACATTTTAAATTGTATTGGCTTAATTATTTTTCAGGCTGTTTTCGTACTAGTTGTATTCATACATCTTCACGTAACATTTGTAAAATCTCCAGTAACGTGCTTGGATCATTTGCGTAGTGAATTTGAAAGCATAAAGTCTGGTTCAGGTGTATCTTTTACCTCCATAACTATGGATGCCAATTATTTGTCAAAAGGTAATGGATCAGATTCTTTTTTACGACGTTCATGGCCTAACTATGGTGTTTTACGTATCGAAGTCATCCGTTCTCCTGATCCGTTCTATTCTCTCGAAGACTCATATGCGAAAGAGTTTTACGGTACTGAAACTCATTATCGTTTTGAAGCCAAAAATGAAAAGACACCACAGGTTAACGAGTTGGATAAACATATTGCCTATATTCCCAAAAATTCAAAGTATTCACTAGCTTATTTTGCCGAGAATATCATCCCCGAACATCAGGACTTCTGGAATTCACTTTTATCTTTGCCATTCATTGCATATGGGTCGATCAAAGAAAATTTCAACCACTTTTTAAATTACTTATACGCTAGTAATCGAGAGCGAACATTCTCTTTTAAAGAGAATGAGGAAAATATGTCTCCATATAACGCAATTATAACCACCAGGAATAAACTCAGTCAGTTGTTGCCTGAAGTGAACCGGTTATTATTCGACTTCTTTGCTGGTATCGTTGATTTTATTTACGACATTCCTATTCGTATATATGCCTCGTCAGGTCCTGGTAAGTACATTTTTTTTGTTTTATTTTATTTGACACAAACGATTCTTGCAGAAATAATTTAGGTACCCCACCAGATCTTAGAGACGACACCACTAAATTTAAAAGATCTTTCCTTTTTTAAGTGATTTAGTCTTAATAGTAGTTTTTTTGTCTGGAAAAAATAACGTACTTCACACGAAACTCATGCAATGCTGATGTTAGAATGAGTTAATTCCTTACACACATTACTGTGCTTGGAATTTGACCACTCCAATTTCTGTCAGTAAACACTTATGTGCCCACTACTTTGATCATAGTGCAGAATATCCCTCTACTTTGTTGTTCATCATCCAATCGGTCTACTCAGAACTCTGTATACTACATTTCTGACAACTAAGGAAAAAATGTTGAAATGTACAAGAAGTATATGAGTTAAGGAACGAAAGCAGACAAGAGTAATAAGAAACGAATGATTTAGATATTGAAGAGTGAATGGATTCTTGGTATCGTGATTGGGTTCAATTCCTATTAATAAAGATACCCTACTTAGCATACGCAGATGTTGCTGTGTGGGTCATAACCAACTAAATAAATAAAAATGGGCGGGGCGGATTTCGCATTGTAATGCACTGGTAAATATTTAGGTGGATTGCCCTCTAAAGCACTACGAGTTATCTAGTTTTGTGAATAAATTATTAACAAACAAGCACCACAGTGTAACAGACCTTTAGTTTTCGGTCCACAAAATGTCTTTGTATGACAAAACGTTCTAAAGTGTTGGTTGTACGACAGCAAATGTTAAGGTACCCGGTTGTTCGACAGACTTTAAACAGCTCTGGTATTACGAAATAAAAAATATTGTTAGCTAGCAACACATGTGGTAGCGTTTACGGATTCAGAAAAGGTTGAGGAGTCATTCAATGTACCTAAGATCCTAACGGAACCTAGACTGTTTTTCCTATCTAGGTAGATGAACCAAAGTGGCAGAGTGTTGAAGGGTACTAGAAGACAAATTATTATTTGGCAGTCAAGTATTTTTAAATAAACCATCCGCGCCAACTGGATGGAGCAGTGTAAAGTCTGACACTACTGTACTCGTTAAACCATGGAAAACTTAAAAAATATAGTGGTTTACACTATCATTCGAATTGAAAAAGTGAAGTTCTTAACATTTAGAACCAGGAGTATAGTTAATCAAACAATACCCGAGCTCCTAGCAAGCCAATGAATTTTGCCAATCCCAAGGAGCTCAGTGATGAACCTACATTTCCAGTGTTGCAAAGTGAATTAAATAATAAGAGCAAATATTCCAAATAACTGAGTTCAATAAAATACCTTGACCACAAAACATCTAGGTGTACAAATCCACAATATATGCTGTTTAGTGAACTTTTTTCGTACCACAATAAAAGACGCTGATAAAATAAGAGAAACTCATCACAAAGTTTGTTTCGTCATTTGAACATACAACATCTCCTAAGAATGTATTTAAATAACATAACCTCCTAGAATTATGCAGACGAATCTGGCTAAACCCGTCACACGCATTAAAGTCGATAAAACAGACAATTGTGATAACCAAAGTCAGTCAGTCAGCTACAACGAAGAACCAGACACACATATGCATCGGTTCAAGTTGCCACACCTCATTAGCACAACGAGATGAACACCGAATTCACAGAAGTAGTTAATTCAATGGTGGTGATATATAAAATAAAGATTGCATATAAGGATATAATACATGAAGAAAGAATTAGGTAGTATAAAGGAAGATATAAAGCAATCGTAATCTCATAGTTTAAGGGAAGACAGAGAGTGTACACTTCTACGTCACTGTGATCGATTCTGAGTCATGTCACCCAGAGTCTCCAATCATTCGTTACGATAGTCACACGAACTTCAACCAAGTAGTCTGCATCTACCAGTATGGCTAAGACTAGAAGCTAGTAACTTAAAGTACTGATGCCACGTTTTGGTTTGGCCGCCCCTAATTTTCTTCCAACCATCCCCAACACTAGTCAGTATTGCGCGCCGTGATTATCGGTGACCCAACCATCGCAGTTGGTGAAGATTTACCGTCATTCCCTAATACCCTGAGTCTAACCTCACTGTTACTTACCCGATGATCCCATAACCGTAAAGATGTGAGAAATATTTATAAGGCATCTGTGGTCAAATACTAGTAGCTTACGAGTATCTTCTATTCTTAATGGCCACGTTTCGCAGCCGTAAAATAGAACAGAACGAACTGACGCGCAGTATACTCGTCCCCTAATTGATAGACGGATATCTCGCCTTCGCCAAACTACATACATGAATAAGAACTTAGTGCAGTGTTATTGCACGTCTCAGTGTGGAAGTGTTATTGGAAATGTAATCAGGGGTGATATCTTCACGAACTGGAAACATCGACGTGCAGAAAAGATAAAGACCACCTGTGGATCGAATCAGAGTGTGTCGGTTATCTCCCTGAACCAGATGTATTAGAAATGATTAAAAGGGCTCCAAACGAAAATCAAATTAAATAAAAAGTTCTTAATAATAAGATTTTCATGAAACACTTCTGTGGTACAATAATATATAACTAAGATGATGAGAATGACTCACTCTACAATAATAATTAATAAATAACTGAAAACCAGTGTTGTAAACTATAGAAACAGTAAATTACTTACTCGTGTTTTCCCATATGTGTAGGAACAACTTTATCGGTTATTTTATAAAATTCGTTGTTTTTATATATGTTTTTTTCACCATTATAAAATGTGCCGTTACCCAATCGACTATGACAAGTTCCGTTTCGCACTTCACCCTATAAAATGCAATACTCTGTAAAATCAGGATGCTATCTTTCCTGTAAAACATTTAAATAGCAATAAGTATCAACGCGCTAACCGTATGCGAAGATGAAAACCTTTATATATATATATATATATATATATATATATATATATATATATATATATATATATATATATATATATATATATTGCCTGCACAATTGGACTCATTTTTACTGATATAAAGAAACACAACAAAAATGAATTAGATGCCGCAACGTAGTAGTGTGGGGTGTGCTACTGATGCCGACAAGTAATTATCGTCATTTCATTTTATTTGTGTATAAGTATGTATCACCAATCAGAAGTGGAATGTCTGGCGGCAGGTTGAAAAAGACGAAGAGAAGAGAACGATAACAGAGTCATTGGTGTGGAAACGAAGGAAAAATCAAGTCTGAGACAGTTGATTGACATTTGGCAAATGAAGTATTTACTGTATAGTTCTCAGATCTTACTGGGATATTCTGTAATTTTGTGTTTAAATACGTTTGGTTGTCCCCACTGGTATTCTCGTTCACTACAATACTACCTTGACAATTTGTAACTGTTCAAACTTAGAGGGAATAGGTGACACTACAGGTGGGGAAGCCTTTCATCCAACGTAAGACGTCGGAAAAAATATACCCAGCGATATCCCAAGGAGACCCAAAGGAAACAAATGAGAGTGTTCAAGCTAACTCTCGACCAAATCAATGCTGACGCAATCAGTATGAGATAGATTAACTAAACTGGTAATATCTGGATGTGAGTTAAAATGCTCTTGTGGAACTAGTCGAATCAGCCGTACACAGGACTTATTATTTAGCACGGGTCAAGGTAGTTGGGAAGAGTAATTCGATGCTAAAATAAACTAACCTGTTTGCAGATAAAAAATACATTAGTAATTATTGAATTTGGTAGAAAATATACTGTCGTAGTTAGCGCCATATCAACTGATTGATCTAAAGCTACATAATAACAAACAGATAAATACCATTGAGTTCTTCTACTAAAACCCTGGAAGTTAGAATTCCGTTTGATAACGAAAATATACACACTTGACGAATTTGTTTTTCATATGATACGTAAGTTGCACTGGGGAGCATAAAATGGATCAAAGTATTCTTACATTATTTCAGGAACATTAGGAAACCAATCTAAATGTAACTGCCTATGTTCGTTTTTAAGACATCCAATAGCCATTTTGTAAACCTTCCGCACAGAATACCACATAACGCTTGTCTGAAACAAAAATAATACATGCATGGAGAAATTTACAAATTCTTTTCCAGAGCAGATTAAAGTAATTGACGTATTCACCCATCTAGCATAAGAGAGTTTACCAAGTTTAGCCTGCAAAAAGACTATTACTTAAATTAACGAAGATACTCAAATTACCGTCATTGTGACAGTGTTCACCGCACACATCGAAGACAAGGAAAAATGTGACTAAAATTAACGGAATAACTCCGATAGCAGCGAAGCACAGACGATTCGTCAACATTAACAAACCAAAGTTTTAAATCAGTGAAAATAGCAAATTAAAATAGTCTTGCAATCCGAACTTGTTCCCTCCAAGTACCAGCTTCGAAGACATCTAATACAAGAGCCTGAAATATGGAAAAATATGACTAGACAATGTAAGCAGCTACAGCGCACAGCAAGTGAACTGAAATTATACAAGAAATGGACAGTTTATATTACAAATCACCCATGAACGGTAAATTAAATTGGTTTCAGCACTTACACCGCCCTCGACGGTAAGAAATTTCCGAAGTTATTTTGTTCTTAAAGACTGAAACTAATTAGTTTGATGGTGTTGTAATTCTCTCTTACGGTTATAACCCAGCTATTCCTATTGCTTAGTATTCTTGGACACCAAATCACTCGACAAGTCCCCAAATCAGAACACGGTTGGACAGGAAAGAGATTATATTCCAAATAACAAGGTTAGATGAAAGTAAGAAGCAAGTAAGTGCAGTAGGGAAAACGCTAGTATATTTAGTTTTTCTCATGAGATTTCTAGTGTTCACTAAGTATTGACTAACGCTGATTAAATAATAACTAGCCAATCAGCGTGCCCCAACGCAAGCGTGCATTGAGCACGACTTAATCCAGTTTATGTCCCGCTAACAGTGGCGACGAGGAAAAAGGAAAACAAATTCAAGATGTCCATATCAGATAACCAGCTTAACCGGATACTACAACAACAGCAAGCACAAATTGATGCACAAATGCGGTTGTTGGAGACCATGACTCGACAGCTTAACATCCACTGCTCGAGTTCACATGCTATCCCAAGTACGTCTTGGGATGCAGTTGCTAGCAGCATACCAGAATTCATCTATGATCTCGAAAGTGGAAATACTTTTTTCATGTGGTTCAAACGTTGGGAAGATACATTTAGAACAGAATTCTGTAACCAAAACGACGCGTGGAAGACTCAACTGTTGGTACGTAAGTTGGGTAGCAATGAACATGCACGCTATACTGACCATATATTGCCAAAGTTACCACGAGAGCTCAGTTTCAAGACGGTAATCCAATTGCTAGAGATATTCTGTGAGTCATCCTCATTGTTTAGTATTCAATATCGGTGTCTAAATTTGGTGAAACGCGAAGCCAATGAATATGGTATTCTAGCAGACATCGTCAACAGAGAATGTGAACGGCTCAAGTTACGCTCATTGACAGAAGACCAATTTAAATGCTTAATATTCATCAAAGCTCTTCAGTCACCACAAGATGCTGAGATCAGGACGAGAGTTTTGGCTCGACTGAATCAAGACCCAAACGTCTCACTCAGAACATTGATAGATGAGTGTAAGCGGCTACAAAGCATCTGACACGATAACGAGTTGATTGAACAGGCAAATCCTAATTTAACCTGCAGTAGTGTCAATGCTATTACTAGGTTAAAAGTTCAGAAGCCGATTACAGCTCGTAACAAACCAACGACTGCATACTGGTTATGTGGTGATTGCAGCTTCGGTCTGGGAACCCGGGCAGTATCACAGCCCTCACACAAATCGAATGATTTATGTGGCGCATATCTACTTAGTACCTCCCTGTACCACTGCTTATGTGTTTAAATAGTAATAATAATAATAATAATAATTAATAATAATAATAATAATAATAATAATAATAATAATAATAATAATAATATAGTGATTGGCATTATGTACGATTCTGTCCATTTAAGAAGCATAAATGTCAGATGTGCAACAAACGTGGACATAAAGGTCATGGTCCACCGAATCGTACGCCTCAGCCCAAGAAAAAGTGTAAACGTCATCGACACACCAGATACTACGAACCTGCTCAAAGGGAAGGTGTTTGGTGTACGGGGTCACCATATTAGACGATGTCTCTCCTTATGCTTAAAATTTGTGTTTGCTAAAAATAAACGATTGTCTGAGCACAGTTGCAGCAGACGAGCACCGTTATCTGTTCGCTGTGCCGGTATACTAGAATATCCACCTAAATCTCTTTCTGTTTGGTTTAAACTACCTATCTGGGCATTAAAGTCACCTGCCACGAGTACTATGTCTGAACGTTTAGCTTTCTGAAGAAGTTCAGATAGCTTTCTGTAAAATTCATCTCTCACTTCATCTGAGCTGCAGTCGGTGGGAGAGTAGGCAGAAACGACAAAAAGGCAACGACGTGTGTCCCTATCCTTCCTAGTCCTTACGGAGCCGTTTAGCCGAACAACACATCGGCGACTGTTGACGGGGATCCACTCTAACAGTGCTTGTTCCGCCCTCATGCTTAGTGCTATCCCTACTCCTGCCAGTCCACGAGAACTGGCCATCAGGTCACCAGATACACAGAGGGTGTATCTCGTCGGCTCTTCGTTTTGCAGAGGTGAGGTCAAGTGAATGACCACACTGGGATCCTGTATGCGTGTTTCGGAGACACAGCATACATCAATGGTACGAGATTCTAGGGTTTTAGCCAAGGAAGCCTGCTGACCGATTTGACATAGGGTGCGTACATTGAAGGCTCTAATGTGTAGTGTGAAGCGAGGTTTCAGTAGACCTGAGACAGTGTTTTGAGCACTAGAATCGTTGGCTATGGTGACACTTGAGGGGGAAGCCGAAAAAGGAAGTTTAGAGGTGAAAGTCGATGTAGGAGGAATGATAGAATTGAAGAGGGAGGTTGATTATGAATACAGTGGTCTTGAGTGCTGGTAGTGGTATCAGGGTAGTTATCACTTCCCAGTTGCCCACACCGTAGAACGGTCCTTCTGGAGGTACCTGAAAAGGAAATTGGATTAGAGGAGGTCATATTGATTTGAGAGTGTGACCGCAGTGCCCAAGGGACAACTGCTCGAAGTCGGTCACACACGACCTTTTTATGAGTAATTTTTGTGTTAGCTCCGTACTTGTTGAGACCTTACCGCCAGAGACAGATATCCGTGGGATAAGGCAAGGTGTGCATTTTTAGGGTCGACCTTTTCTAACCTCATCCCTCCTTGTGGGAAGGCAGCATCGCTGTCATGCTCGTCGTCTGAAGGAAACAATTTACTGCTATCACACCTCTGTACAGTCAGCAGTACGACTTCGCCTTCGGACCTTAGGTTTGTTGCTTTTAGTCTTACCGCTCTTTAACAAACCTGTCTGACATGCTAGGACCTTGAGGAACGGTTGTTCCAGCCAGTATAGCTCGGTTGCTTCATCACGATAGGTAAACCCGACCACCACGTCAAGGTAGCAACAACGGTCGGGTTACCAATTATAGATCACTCTTCATCACTATTATTAAACTCATGAAGTATTCCCAACATTTCCTTACAATGAAGGGAAGTTGAACACAGGTTTTACATTTGCATGCCACTGATATTTCCTAAATAAATATAGTAATCCAAAAGGCCGTAAACTTTGAACCCTCGTAAAACGTGAATCTTGAAACGCTAATTCATCATATAAACATACCTAAAATTTACACGCGGATACAAAGAAACCAATGCGTTTATACTAACGGGGACTTCATTGGCCAAGAATATCGAAATGTTAGTTCTTTGAAACTAAGCTCAACAGTTTAAAGATTGTAACCACGAAAACCTAGCACTTTGTAAGTGCATGTTCTTTTATGTTTAGTATCACGGTCTTAAGTAGGCATCGAAAACAATCTTGGATAGTCCAAGATCTAGATCACATACGTTCTGGAAAAAGCCCTGATAGCTCAAGTTTTATCGAGTCCATGCTGCTAATCAGCAGTAATTTTGAGAGGGTGAGACTTCAAAATACTTCAGTCACCGTGTAATAAATAGGTCGAGGCAGCTGTCAGCGGACAGAGGTGTGTTTAGTTGGGAGTAACTATATTTGATTTCCTCAAATGGCAGCCTAATGATCTTATTATGAAAGTTACGTACCGTTGAGGAATCCTGATCTACCGAATTCTGTGCCACCTGTGCCAATCAAAAGCATGTTGTTATATGTCACACACATGATCAAACAAGCCATACATTTATCCCATCTTATTGATTTTAGGCGAACATCTACTGAGCAGTTCCTTGTGAGAATATACATACGCTAAAATAGTCATGATATGTGATTTTTTCAAGATGCACTTTTATTCCTGATAAGCTACCATGTACTAGACTTAAGGCAGGATGAAGACTCCAAAGGGTTTGATTTGTATTCAGAACAGATGAGTGCTAGGAGGTAGACGTCCATCACTACTCGTCTATATCAATGACTTTCGTTTCAAAAAGGGCAATGATTCAGTACTGATTGTGATTTTCCTTGCTTTCGTGTACTTGTTGATGAACACCGAATACATAGAAGCAGCTAATTCAGTGGTGGTGATATATAAAATAAAGATTGCATATAAGGATATAATACATGAAGAAAGAATTAGGTAGTATAAAGGAAGATATAAAGCAATCGTAATCTCATAGTTTAAGGGAAGACAGAGAGTGTACACTTCTACGTCACTGTGATCGATTCTGAGTCATGTCACCCAGAGTCTCCAATCATTCGTTACGATAGTCACACGAACTTCAACCAAGTAGTCTGCATCTACCAGTATGGCTAAGACTAGAAGCTAGTAACTTAAAGTACTGATGCCACGTTTTGGTTTGGCCGCCCCTAATTTTCTTCCAACCATCCCCAACACTAGTCAGTATTGCGCGCCGTGATTATCGGTGACCCAACCATCGCAGTTGGTGAAGATTTACCGTCATTCCCTAATACCCTGAGTCTAACCTCACTGTTACTTACCCGATGATCCCATAACCGTAAAGATGTGAGAAATATTTATAAGGCATCTGTGGTCAAATACTAGTAGCTTACGAGTATCTTCTATTCTTAATGGCCACGTTTCGCAGCCGTAAAATAGAACAGAACGAACTGACGCGCAGTATACTCGTCCCCTAATTGATAGACGGATATCTCACCTTCGCCAAACTACATACATGAACGCAACCCAAACATTCTGGCATTGTTGCTCAGTGCTACCAAAAGACTCTGCATTTTATCAGCATCGTCACCAAACAGAACTATATCATCTGCGTATTCTAAGTCGATAAGTGGACCTTCTGGTAGGAGATCAGTGCCCGAAAATCCAGTCGACGTGAATGTTATTTCCATCAGTATGTTTATGA